GAGCCTCCCTGTCCGCCTCCCCGTCCCCACCAGCTGTCCCTGCAGCCGGGCTGGCGCTGAGCTCAGCTCCGTGGAGGTGCTGCCAGGCAAGGAGCCAGGTGACACGGAGGCCAGGGGACGGGCACAGAGAGCCAGCTCAGGGCCCAGGCTGTCCCCAGATCCCCTCGCTGTTGGGCCCGCGGCTCCACAGCCCCTCTTCCTGAGCTTGTCCCCATCCTTTCCCGCACTTCCGATGCTCAGCTTGCTGTCCAGAAGTATGAGGAGCTGTTCCCCGCGTTCTCTGATTCCCGGGAGTACAAGCTGATGAAAGTGAGTGCTGGGGGCCCCTCCCGGCCCCGCCCCCTTCGCATTGGGGCCGGAAGTGGGTGGGTGGGGGCGGGCGCAGGGAGCCTGGAGGCGGGGCTCCAGTTAGTGCGATCACCGGTTCCAGCAGTGGTTCTCAAGAGTTTTTTGGTTTTGTTTTTTTTATTTTGTTTCTCCTCTTCTGCCATTTGGGTCTCCGTTTTGTAGATGGGACCAGACTCAGGCAGCAACGGAGCTGGTCAGGGCTGAGTTGGGACACACACACACACGCGCGTGCATGTACACACGTGTGGCCCGTGTCCATGAGCTGGCAGGCCACTTCCCACTCGGGCGGGACTGGAACACCCCCTTTCCGCCCCCTCCAGCCAGGGCCCCTGACCCCTGACCCCTGCCTGCCCTTCTCTTATAGAAATTGCTAGAAGCCCACGAAGAACAAAACGTGGACAGCTACACCGAGGCGGTGAGTGGCCGGCGGGGTGGCTGCCTGTCTCAGGCACGTGCTGCCACGCCCCTCAGCCTCTTTGTCCCTGGCCTGGGCCCGGGGCTGTGAACCCCTTCCTCCAGTTCACCCCGGAGTCCTCCCAAGGGGCCCCGAGAGGGGCAGGGAGAGTTCTCCCCGTAGTACAGGTGATGGCACCCAAGCTGGGGATGGTGAGGGGACTTGGCCTTGGTGCCTCGGTGGCAGAGCTGGGTTCAGATTCACGTCTGCCTGCCGCACTCGGAGTCCCCCTGGCCGAGCAGCCGAGGGCCACCTCTCATCGGGCGCTTTGGGTGACCCAGCGGAGCACAGAGGGAAGGAAGTGAGCAGAGACATTCCCCCTCCTGAGAACAGGGGCTGGGGGTGAGGTGGGTGAGGCGGGTGGGCGGGCCCGTCCTTCCAGCAACGAGTGCGCTCGAAGCTCTGCCCCGCAGGTGTATCTAAATGTCCCAGAGCCCGCACCGGGGACCTGGCCGGGTCCTCAGGGCTGGGCACCTGCCCCTCGGGAACTGTAGGTCCCTGTTGACCACAGGCCACCTCGCTCTGGTCCCTCCTGCTCGCCCTGCCCCACCGCCCCCATAAGCCGTGGGGAAATCTGCAGACTCCGTGTGGAGAAGTGGGGGCAGGAAGGGCATGGGTTCTCTCCCTGGCCTCCCAGCTCCCGGCGCCACTCGGGACAGGCCTTGGTCGCATTTCCAGGCCTCAGCTTCCTAACCCTAACACAGAGCAGCTAGACCCCTTTTCTTAAAGCTACGAAGTCCATTTTTTCCCCTGAAAGGAAGCCTGCCTGACACTCAGGTTAGTCCTGCTATAAAAGGGAGCCGCCGGCTCACTGCCTCCCTCGCTCCTCCTCCGACCCGGCTGGCCGGCTGGCGGGACACATGTAGAGTCCCCAAGGCCTGGGGATCCAGGGCCAGGACAGGGAGGGAGCCGGACCGGGGGTGGCACTGCCCACCCCTCAGCACGCGGCCCTGGCGGTGTGCCACAGGTGAAGGAGTACGACTCCATCTCCCGGCTGGACCAGTGGCTGACCACCATGCTGCTGCGCATCAAGAAGACCATCCAGGGTGACGAGGAGGACCTGCGCTAAGCCCCGCCCGCCCCAGGGCCCTCTTCCCGCCCTCTGCTCTCCCAGCAGCCCCTCCAGCGCCAGCTCGAGCCCCGAGAGAGGTGCCCCCGGACCTGGGCTGGGGCCTCCCCTCCCTCCCCCCAGGCATCTCACAGGCCTCTGCACCCGGCCTGCTGGCTGGGGATGGCACCTACTTTTCTCTCTGCACCTCTCCCCCTGCCCATTTATTTAAGCCCCAAAGGTATCCCTTTCCACCCCAAATACAAAATCTGTTATGTAGACCTATTTGCTGTGGGCGCTGCCCCAGAGCGAGGCAGGACAGGGCGGTCAGCATCTGTCCCCCCATCTGACCAGCTGAGGCGTGAGGTTGGCTTCTGTCTCCCCACTTCTGTTCACCGCCAGCCCAGCTCAGAGCACACGGAGCTGCTGAGGGGTGCTCTAGCTGCTGGGGGTGGGCGCCTTCTCCCCCAGCGCAGGAGCTGCCCAGCCTCCTGCAGCCCCGACCTCCCCAGAGAGACCCCAGGCCCTGGAGCCCGGGGGGCCGTCCTGCACCTGCCCCACATCCGCTCCTGTCCCAGTGCTTTGAGGTTTCTTCAGTCGGAAGCTGCAGCTGGCCCCCAAAACAAAATAAAACGACAACACTTTTGCATGAGTCCTTCTGTCTCCTCCCCTCTGCTGCCCTCCTCCTTCCTTTGGGGCCGGAGTCCTGTCCGTGGTGCCTCCACCAGGCCCTGGCCACACTGTGGGAAGGGGAGGGTGCCTTCGCCCATGGGCTTTGGCTTCCTTGGCTGGGCATGGGGTGGGCGGCAGGGCCAGCCCTCAGCAGCTGGAGGGTGGGTGCAGCAGTCGAGTGACGGGGGGTGGGAGAGGCCCTCCGAATCTCCCAGCCTCACCCACGTCCGTGACGCCCCAGTGCACTCGTTCCCTCTGTCACAACACGCGGGAGGAAGCAGCTCTGGTGGCAAGTGGAGAGGACCAAGTGGGTATGGGTGTGGGAGAGGAGATGACAGAATTCCTTTGCCCTGGGAAGGTGGGCAAGGGCCACCCACCTGCCCGCTCCACTGTGTGGGCCTGTAAGTCAGGAGAACCATCCGATGTGCCGGTGCTCCTGCCTCCTGGTGGGGACAGCGGGAGGAGGCTCGTGCAGCAGGCAGGCGAGTGGGGCGGAGGAGGGGCTGCCTGGAAACCAAGGTGGGCTCCTCCGTGCTCCCGCCCAGAGCCAGGACAGAGTTCAGGAGAGAGGTTCACCATGTCAGAGTGGCCTGTGCAACACCCTGCCCTGCTGCCCTCTCCCCTTCTGCTCTCATGACTCTGTGTTGATTGATAATGGCTGCCTCCAGCTCAGCTAAGACCCCTGAGACCTGAGGTTGACTACTGATGTCTGCCACGGGCACAGGCTGAACAATGGTTTAAGAATCTATTTCTGCCCTGGCTGCTGTGGTTCAGTGGATGGAGCGTGGGCTGTGAACCAAAGGGTCGACAGTTTGATTCCCAGTCAGGGCACATGCCTGGGTTGCAGGCCAGGTCCCCAGTAGGGGGTGCATGAGAGGCAACCATACACTGATATTTTTCTCCCTCTCCCTTCCCCTCTCTAAAATAAAATCTTTTAAAAAATCAATTTCTGTCATTCATGACTGAAAATAAATCTCAATATTTGCTGTGCTTGAAATCATTAAAAGGACTCGAGTTTGGCCCTGGACAGGTAGCTCAGATGGTTAGAGCACCGTCCCCATACGCCAAGGTTGCAGGTTTGATCCCCAGTCAGGGCACATAACAAGAATCAAACTATGAATACATGAGTGAGCGGCACAGCAAACCCATATTTCTCTCAAATCACTAAGTAAATATTTTAAAGTATTCAAGCGTGTGTCGCACCAATAAACTGGTTGGGTGAGGTTCCCCACCCTTTGGGGGTTCTTGTTTGACTCCTGAAAGTTCCACTAGTGACTCAAGTGTGTGACCAGGGGTAGAAACCACTGAACAGGACAGTTCTTTTCAACCTGTAATTTATCCACTTGCTCGGCAGATGTTGAGTGACTGTAGTGGAGAGGCTCCCACAGACCCTGCCCTCCGGGAGCCTTCACTTCCCCAAATGCAGAACTCTACAGTGGACACGCTCCTCTTCACCCTCCGCATCCAATCCGCCTTTGAGAACCTTCCTTTTATGTCTCTTATGTAACAGTGCCTGGCAAAAGGCCTGGCTCATCGCTTGTGGATTTCAACACACAGTTATTGAATGCTTGCTTTGTGTCTGGCATTGTAGTCCAAGTGCTGGGGGTTTTACTGCCGTCATGGGTCTCGCAAGCTGTGTGTGTGTGTGCTTTCTGCTCGGTGCGGAATGGAGGTGACAACAGTCGGCCAACACCGGAAACAACATACAGGTGTAGAGTCCCCATGCCCCCTGAGGCCATTCTAGAGACAAAACACACAGAGACCTCTGAAACCCGGGAGTTAGAATCACCTGGTTAACACTCTGTCCACCACTCTCCAGCCTGTCAGTCAAGGGACTGGCTCTCCCTGAGACTCAATTTCATCCTCTATGAATTGGGCAAATAAATAAGCCCCTGTGTTGCAAAAGTTATCAAAGTGAGTTTGGGAAGGTACATAGTAAGTGCCCCATAAACGCTGAATAAACCAATGTACTGTAACCACAAGGTTACATCACTGAGATAATCAATGGGATAATTATCAATGGATAATTATCAATTATCAATTATCCCATCAATGGGATAATCAGGGCCTGCGTGAAAAAGCCACTCAGTAAAGGAGGAGGTTTTCTGTCAGGACAGAGGGCTAGATCTCTTTCCCTTGGGGTAAGAATACATTTTACCATTTTTAAAGATATGTGACTAAACCATGAAGCTATCTTGTTTGGATTTTACTACTGTTTCTTACTAGGTGTGCGATCTTAGACAAGTTACTTACTTCTCTGTGCCTCAATTCCTTCATCTATTAAACACAGTAACTACCTCGGCCTGCTTCGTGACTTTTAAATAAATTGACAGATGGGGAGGGCTTAAGCAGTTCCTGACACATACTTTCAACTTTACGGTGGTCCAAACAGTGCGCAGGCGCGTTGGGGCAGTCCCGTGGGAAGCGCGGCTGGCGGCCATCTTGGTAAAGGGCAGCGACGGCAGCTTCCGTACAGTCGTCAGGTTGCGTGACTAGTGGGCTCCGCGAAGTCCAGGTCGCTTCGGCAGCGGTGGGCGGGGTGGGCGGACCACGGCGGGGGCTGCAGGGGTTGAGTGAGTGCGGTGCGTGATGGGGGAGGCGGCCGTGGCCGCGGAGCCTTGCCCGCTGCGCGAGGATAGCTTCACGCGCTTCTCGTCGCAAAGCAACGTGTACGGGCTGGCGGGTGGCGCGGGCGGGCGCGGAGAGCTGCTGGCCGCCACCCTTAAAGGCAAGGTTCTGGGCTTCCGCTACCAAGACCTCCGACAGAAAATCCGGCCGGTGGCCAAGGAGCTGCAGTTCAATTACATACCCGGTGCGTGGCGCTATGGCGTCGGGGGGCCGGGAAGGTGGTGTTAGGAAGGCTTCTGAGGCTGTGCCTGAGCTGGATTGATGGGCAAATGGGACCAGGGTGACTGAAGGGGGTCGAAGCTGGTAATCAGGGGGCTTTGGGGTCAGAGCGCAGGGATGTCAGGGGCCTGCAAGTGGTTAGGTTCCGAACTCCTCCCACCACGGTGATGATAATCAGAGCTCTCCAGAATTCAGAAGTCATGGTAATTGCAGCGGTTCAAAGTTACTGAGCCCTAAAGGTCAGGAACTGGGGGTATTGTGGTTCTAAGTCTGCCAGAAACTTGAACTTTGAACTATCCCGTCCCAGTGGATGCCGAGATTGTCTCCATCGACACCTTCAACAAGTCGCCCCCAAAGCAGGGCCTGGTCGTGGGGATCACGTTTATCAAGGTACACAGAGTCTCCTCCCCTTCTCTTCCCTCCTCACACATGGGGTGGAGCCTACTGGGTCTGACCGCAGTCCCTCCTGCCACCCCACCTCTCGTTCCCCAGGATTCAGGGGACAAAGGCAGCCCCTTCCTTAACATTTACTGTGACTACGAGCCTGGCTCTGAGTACAACCTGGACTCCATTGCCCGTAAGTGTGGCCTGGAGGGAAGGAGGCGTGGAGAAGGTGGGAGGGGCCCCTGGGGGTCCGGCGCCCACCTGCCTGTGCTCCCCTGCAGAGAGCTGCCTGAACCTGGAGCTCCGCTTCACCCCTTTCCAGCTGTGCCATGCAGAGTAAGTGAGCGCAGGCGTGAAACAATAGGGAGCGTGCGCACCTGCGGGGGAGGGGCGCCAGCCAACCAGACCGCAAACCTGTCGGAGGACCCTCAGATTCTAGTTTCATTTCTCCAGAGCCCCGTGCACTGAAGGTGTGCGTGGACCAGACTTGGCTGATGGGCTACCCTTTTGTTATTGCCAAACTAGATAATCGGCGAGTTAGTTGAGTACCTACTTACCAGCCATCTCGAATTTTCAGGTTCTGGTGTTCTGGATTTGGACATTCCAAGAACCAGAAGTGCTATTTTCTAGAGTTACAAGCTCGGAAATCCCAAGATCTGAATGTCCTACAGTTTGATAATTCTGAGTGTCGGCAAACTTTCTCTGCAAAGGCCCAGATGACCAATAGGAGGCTTTTCAGGGCCAGTGTCTGTCACAATTACTTTGCCACTCTAGCAGAAAGGCAGCCATTGACCGTAAATGAAAGGGGGTGGCTGCGTTTCAATAAAACTTTATTTATAAAAACATGCTGGGTTGGATTTGGCCTGTGGGGTCACAGTTTGCCAACCTCTGGCCCAGCAGGTGAGAGTTTAGACACTGATGTTCTGGATTCTAGCATTTGGGCGATCTACCATTCTGAGTCAGAACATCCTTGGTGTCAGTTTCTAAAAGTTCCAGCGTCTTAAAGGAGACAGATAACAGAACTAGAGCGCTAGACTTCTGGATAAAGAGGTGCTCGTGTCCTGGGCTTCTGCGACCCATTCTAGAGCTCTTTGTGCCATTTCCAAATCACACCTGAATGAAGGTGCTAGCAAATGAGGGCTCTCAAAACACAAGGCACTGGCCTGCAACTCCTCGTGCAGTTCTGCATCCTGAGGTTCTAGCTCTGGGACCAGTGGCCGGCTCGATCCCAGGATGTTCTTGCACACAGGGATTTTTGCAAGAGGGTTCTACACACACTCTCAGCCACACTCAGGCTCTGCCACGGTGGGGTCCTAGATTTCTCTGCTTCCAGGGTCCAGGTCGGGGATCAACTGGAGACCGTGTTTCTCCTGAGTGGGAACGACCCAGCCATTCATCTCTACAAGGAGGTGAGGTGGGGGGCGGGGAGGTACCTGGTGGGCATAGCCCCCCTGGGCCCTCATGGGCTGGCCACTGACTCCAGGCAGGGCTTGGGTCTTGGTTCCCCCAGAACGAGGGGCTCCATCAGTTCGAGGAACAGCCTGTGGAAAACCTCTTCCCAGAGCTCACAGACCTGACCAGCAGGTAGGAGAGCCCCCGAAAGCAGCCAGGTGGGGCCAGGGCCAGGGCCTCCGAGCAGTTGGGGGCCAGGAATGGACCCCTAGAGAAAGTGGGCAGTGAGGAGTACCTCAGAGAGATCGGGCGGCAGCGGGGTCCCAAGGCTACCGAGCAGGGCCAGATGTTCCTGGGGACGTGGGACTGGGACCCAGTGACAGCCCGCAGCCCCTCTCTCCGCCCGCTCACCCACCAGCGTCCTCTGGCTTGACGTCCACAACCTCCCGGGCACGTCCCGGCGACTCTCCGCGCTCGGCTGTCAGAGTGGTTATGTCCGCGTGGCCCACGTGGACCAGCAGAGCCGAGGTCAGGCAGGGTGAGGGGCGGGGCCGGCGTGGGGCGGGGCCGGGCAGCCGAGGGGCGGGGCCCTGAGTGCTCACCCTCCACGCAGAGGTGTTGCAGACCTGGACAGTCCTGCAGGATGGCCCCATCTCCCGAGTGATCGTGTTCAGACTCTCGGCCCCCACGGGTGAGCTCTGGACATGGGGACAGCTCCGCGGGCTTGGCTCCCCTCGCCTGTGTTTGTACCCTGCCTGCCACCCTGCCCTCTGTCCCTCCCACGGAGCCACAACGAGTCCCTTCACTCCCCTCCACACCCTCAGACTGTCGCTTCCGGTTCCGGCCTCCGTGCTGTCATCTGAGACCTGCGGCGGACGTCCCCCTTTACCCTGGTGTCTGACCTTCACCCCTTGCGCAGTGACTCTGCTCCCCTCTCCATCCTCACTCCGCCTCCGGCTGTGCTCCAGCCCCAGGCTCCTCCTGAGGACTCGCGCTGTCCCACCCCCCGCGGTCTCCCCTGTCCCCGCACGTCGCTCTGTCCATCTTACCGCCGTCTGCCCTTCACTGGTGTCGGCCTTGGCCTGACCCCCTCTGTCCCCCAGGCTGATGTTTCTTCTTCCTCCCACTGTCATTCCGACTCTGGTCTAACCTTGGACTTGCCCGCTGTCACCCACCTTTGTGGCCTCGGCTGTCGTGGCCTTGGACCTTCTCTCCCATCCCCTAACACCTGCTCCTCCCCCTCCTGGTGTCCGACCCGTCACCCTCTCGTGGTCTGACCTCTGACCCCACCTCTAGAGCACGAAGGTCCAGCCCACATCGCTCACTGAGGGGAGCGAGCTCTGAGGCGGAGCCTGGAACCTGCCCCTCAGACCTGCCCCCCCCCACTATGTCCTTTCCCCAGAGACCCAGGACGGGCCGCCGCGGGAGGAGTACAGCGTGCTCGTGGCCAGCATGCTGGAGCCGGCCGTGGTGTACCGGTGAGGGGCTGGGGCCCCTGGGGGCCGTCTAACCTCACGCCTCTGCCCTGTGGTCTGACCTCGGCCTTCTCGGCAGAAAGTACCCCCGGGCGAGGTTGTTCGGGGCTGGGCAGGGAAACGTGTTTAGGGAGGGGGTGCGGGTGTTTAAGGGAAGAACTCGGAGGGGGTGTGTGGAGCGGGCACTGAGGTGTCCACTCTGCAAATGGGTCGCAGCCGCCTCTTGGTGAGAAAAGCTGCTTTGTAGCACTCGCCCATTCCTGTGGTGTAAACACCCCCACCACGGCGGGGTTTCAGGGTTTTGGCTGCTGGCGTGGAGCCAGCAGGCTTGCAGGCTTCTGAAACTTCCTCGGCTCTGGTGAGCCAGCTCCAGGCGGCTGGGGCACGCTGGTGGGCAGTGAGGATGTCCCAGTGGGGACCAGGCTCTGCCGGCTCCACGGGGACAGTGTGGGTGTCTAGACCCCCAAGGGAACCACACAGGTTTCCATCTGGGAGTGAAATGGCCCCGCCTCCGGGGGCCAGTGAGCTCCACACACGGAGTGGCAGATGGGGACGCTCAGAGTAGAGGGTGTGTGCCCCGCGGTGGAGATGAAGGTGACCCGGTTGGGGCTGAGGGTGTCTGGAGTTCATGGGTAACTGCGTGTTTAGACTTTCCAAGTGGAGCGGTGTGGGTGCCCAGCCGGGGGCCTGGCGCTGAGGGTGGTGGGTGCTGCGGCCTGACCTCAGCCTCCCCCCTCGGTGGGGACCCTCAGGGACCTGCTGACCCGGGGCCTTGAGGACCAGCTTCTCCTGCCTGGCAGTGACCAGTTTGACAGTATCCTCTGTGGCCTGGTCACCGACATCGATCTGGACGGGCAGCCAGAAGTCCTGGTGGCCACCTACGGACAGGTGGGACCCGAGGGCGGGACTGACACCTGCCTGACCCCTCCACTGCCCCGCTCACCCTGTGTGACCTCAGCCCCCTCTGCCCCCGACACACACAGGAACTGCTCTGTTACAAGTACTGCGGCCCCGAGCGCGGACTCGCCGAGCCTGGGTTTCGCCTCCTTTGGCAGCGGGGCTTCCCCAGCCCGCTGCTGGCCATGGCGCACGTGGACCTGACGGGGGATGGGCTGCAGGAGCTTGCTGTGGTCTCTCTGAAGGGCGTGCACATCCTGCAGGTGGCTGGGGTCCCTCAGAGCAGAGCCAGACGGGGCAGCCCGGAACCTCCATTGCCTTTCCACGTCCAACTACTGGGGTCTGACCTCTGACCTCCCCGTGGCCCACCCCCTCCCTGAGGCCGCAGTGAACGTTTGTTTCTGAACCCGGCATCCCCTTCTCCTCCCCTCTGGTCCATCCCAGGATCCTTTCCCACGGTGTCTAGCCTGGGTTCTTTCTGCCCGCGTCCAGCCTGGCTGCCCCTTCTGAGGCTCCGCTTGGGCTGTCCTGTGGTCTGTCCTGTGGGCTGTCCTGTGGTCTGTCCTGTGGTCTGTCCCCCAGAGCTGGGGCTGAGGTCCGACCTCGGGGGGGAAAAGACGCAGGTCGTACCCCACGGGGAGCTCCGTGGGGAGGTCCCAGCCAGACCGCAGGGGAAGAGGTCAGTCGGGCAGTGGGGGCAGGACTTCCCTCTCACTGCCCCACCCGCCCCATCCGCTTCCCACCGTCTGTCAGCACTGCGGTCACTTCTAAGCCCTTTCCCTGAGATCGCCTCTGCCCCTTCGATGAGGTCCCACCTCAGACTCCCCGACCACGCTCTAACTCTGTCCCTCATAGGGGGACGCGAGCCTCTCTTTTCCACTTCATTTGTGCCTCCTCTGTCCCGTGGGCTTGTCCTTTTCTGCCACGGGGTCACCTTTGTCTCTGCCCCGTGGTCCGACCTCAGCCTCTCAGTGGTCAGGCCCCTCCACATAATTCATTCTCTCTCTCTCTCTCTCTCTCTCTGATCCATCCCACCCCCTTCCACCCAGGTGGGTCAGGGCTTTGCTCCCCCCACTGGGAATTCACGCAAGGCCGTCCCCACTGGGTCTGACCTCCACCCTGCCAGCAACCCCTTCCCACCCCCACGCTGAGGTTTGCTCTCCGGGCCGCCTTTGGGGCGGTCTGACCCGCACCCCTGCACCCCTGCACCCCTGCAGCTCTCAGCCCCTCCTCCTCCTCCCTGTTCCCACAGCACAGCCTGATCCAGGCCTCGGAGCTGGTCCTGACGCGGCTTCGGCGCCAAGTGGAGCAGAGCAGACACCAGCCAGGGAGGCTGGGCCCGGGGCCTGCTGGGACACCGGCCTCCTGAGCACCCACCCACGGGGGCGCCCACCTGCAGCCCTTCCTGGAGAGGGGAGAACCCCGAAGGAGGGAGTGGTCTGCCCGGGTCCCCGGGGGCCGGAGCTGTGAGTCCCGCCCCAGGCTGCCCTGCGACCTCGCCTGACACTCCTCCGGGCCTCAGTGTCCCCCTTGGAAAATGGGATGGGCTCACCCAACCCCCCTTGTGCCCCCGGTTGGCCAGCCAGCGATGATTTACACGCCCAAAGGAACTGAACTCTCCGCCGTCTTGATCCTTCTGTTCAGCGAGCGCCGGGCGAGAGCCTGGCACCCTGGGTCTCGCGCCACGCGCCCAGAAGAACAGAGGGTGGGGGAGACCCAGAGGTGGGACGGAGGAGAGACGGCGGCACAGACCTCGGAGGGAAGACTCGCCCGGGCCCAACAGCAGGGCCGACGTCAGGCCACTGTGGGGAAGGCAGGACTGTGAGGGAAGGGCCCGAGGCGGGGCCCTGGCAGGAAGCTCTGGATCTGAGATGAGGTCCCAGTGGGAAGACAAGGAAACTGAGTCTCAGAGGAAAGGGTGGCGCAAAGGACTGCTTTGGGGAGCCCGAGCGTCTGAGGCCAGACCCCTGTGAAGAAGGCTGAGGCCGGACTCCGCCAGAATCTCGGCGGTTTGCCCTGACTGGTGTGGCTCAGTGGATGGAGCTCCGGCCTGTGAACCAATGGGTCGCCAGTTCAGTTCCCAGTCAGGGCACAGGCCTGGGTTGCGGGCCAGGCCCCCATTAGGGGGCACACGAGAGGCAACCACACATTGATGTTTCTCTCCTTTCTCCCTTCCTTTCCCTCTCTCTAAAAATAAATAGTCTTTAAAAAAATACCATGATTCGACTCTGTGCCGAGGGCCAAGATTAGAGCCCAGTTGGACCCCCACGACGGAGTACTGAGGAAGGACTGGGGGTGTACCGTGCCGGGAAGGAACCTAGTCCTGAATGAAAAGCCCAGAGGACTGGGGTCCAGGGAGTGGGAGACCCAGCTGGTGGCCGCAGCCCCTGGCTGTAGGAATCACCTCGTTCTGTGGCACCAGGAGAAGGGGTCAGAGGCCTACATCACGGGGACCCTGGAGGGCCAGGGTGACAGAAGAAGTTCCGCCCTCCCCCACCAGAGCCCAGCGATAGAATCAGGGTCAGGAGGGTCCAGGAGGAATTCCTGAGCAGGATCCAAGCTGGTGGGGAAGGTGGGCTCCTTCCTCCCGGGGCCAGAGGGTGGGTGGGACTCCGCTTCCTGAGGGAGAGAGGTCAGTCTGGCCACCTGCCTGCTACCGTGGAAGTCCACCCGATGGTCTGATCCCCGCACCGACGGTGACAGCCAAGCTGCCGGTCGCCTGCAGTGGTCTGTGGGAGGCAGCCCGCCAGTTCTCAGAAGCCCTGTCTTCACCTCCCCCGAACCCAGGCTCAAGCGTGGGAAATAGCAGGGAGCGGAGCATCGTCCTCACGATCAGGGTCCCTCCCCCCTGCTGCCCACCTGTTCCTTCCCCTTCGTCCTGGGCAGGAGTGGGGTTGTGGGCGAGTTTGGTTGGTGATGGTGCGGGTCTGTGAAGCATGCGCACCCTGAGGAGGGGAGTGTGCAAACGTGTCCACTTCGGGACGCTTGAATTTGTCTTCAAGGGCCTGGGCCACCACCCTGGCTGGTGTGGCTCAGTGGATTGAGCGCCGGCCTGCAAACTGGAAGGTCTCCTGTTCGATTCCCAGTCAGGACACATGCCTGGGATGCTGCCTAGGTCCCCAAGAGGGGGCGCACAAGAGGGAACCACACAGTGATGTTTTCTCCCTCCCTCCCATCCCCTCTCTCTAAAAAATAAAGTTAAAAAAAAAGGACAGTATGCTTTCTGACTTCCCGCCCCAGGCTGTGTAGTGAGTGACAGGTGAAGGGGGTGGAGCCTGGCCCTGGTGGGTGTGGCTCAGCACAGCTGGAGAATCACCCTCCAACCAAAACGTGGCAAGTTCCGGGTCAGGGTACCTGCCTGGGTTGTGGGTTCAATCCCCGGTCCCGGCGATGTTTCTCTTCCTCTCTCCCTTCTCTCTCTAAAAAACGATGAAAGGAGTGTCCTCAGGTGAGAATTAAAAAAAAAGTGTAGTCACAGAGGCGTCCAGCCCGCATCCCGCAGGCCGAGTGCTGCCCAGGATGGCTATGAATGTGACCCAACACAAAATCATAAATTTACTGAAAGCATCAAGATTTTTTTTGTGATTACATATCACAATGTATTCAGTGTAAGGCCAAGACAACTCTTCTTCCGGTGTGGCCCAGAGACACCAAAAGGTCGGACACCCCTGCTGGAGCCCAAAGCCACATGTCCCTCTGTGCCTCGGTTTCCCTCTCCGTAAAATAAAGCTAATAGTACCTACCTCACAGGGTTGGTACGAGGGTGAGTTGTGTCCATGTGTCAAGTGCTTATAAAAATTTTGGAAGACTGAGCCCTGGCTGGTGTAGCTCAGCAGATTGAGCACGGGCCTGTGAAGCAAAGGGTCGAAAGTTCGATTCCCAGTCAGGGCACATGCCTGGGTTGCAGGCCAGGTCCCCAATAGGGGACGCATGAGAGGCAACCACACATGGATGTTTCTCTTCCACTCTTTCTCCTTCCCTTCCCCTCTCTCTAAAAATAAATAAATAAAATATTTTTTAAAAAATTCGGAAGAGTGTAACAATGCCTGACCCCGTGGTAAGGACGTGTGAGCAGCAGCTGCTGGTATTATTATTAACGGGTGCCTTCGTGGTTGCTGCTGGCCGGCCTGAGGCTTCTGTCCGCCGGCCCGGCTTGTGAATTTGGATCTGGCCGGCTAAACATGCCTGTCCTCCGCCCAGTTCTGAGCGCCTGTAACTATTTGTAGCTTTTCTTGCGTCTCTGACCCTTATATGGATCAGAGACCGTATGTGTGTTGGGGATGGGGGCGGAGGATGCCTCGGAAATGACAGACACGAGCGCCCTCCGCCGCTGTCCCTGCCGGTGGTGCTGAAGCCGGTGGGTGGGTGGGTGGGTGGGTGGGTGGGAGGCTGAGGCCGCCTCCTCCCGTCGCGGCCCCTGCAGGCCCCTCCCCAAGCCTCCCCGCCCACGGCAGCCTCCCTTCCCCCGCCTCTTCCTCCTCCCTCGCCGCCAGCTCCCCGTCCCCCGTGTCCCTCCCCCTTCCTCCTCTCCTCCCTCGGTCCCCTTCCCTCCCCTCTCCCCCGCTCTCTCTCTCTCAGTCTCCAGCTCCTCTCTCCCTCTCTTTCTCTCTCTGTCTCTCTCTCAGTCAGGCAGAGTCACCCACCACTGCCCTCCCGGGGCTGGGGGGACCTTTCCCAGGCTGTAGCTGCAGGTAAGAGACCGCCAGAGCGGTGGGGGCATGTGTCTGCCCAGGCTGGTGGAGGGGGGCGTTTGTGGAGCCCGGGGCCGCTTCTCCCTGAACTCATTTATGGCGGGTGGGGGGCTGCAGAGTCTAGGCGGGGGATACCAGGGCCCTTCGGCGGGGTGGGGGCGCCAGCAGCACCCCATGTCTCAGCCCCTCCTGCATTCTAGGGAGCATGGCAGGCTGGGTGGGGGTGCCCCTCCTGGGCACGGAGGGGACGAGAACAGCCCACGCCGTCTGGGGAAGGTCTGGGGAAGCCCCCCCACACCCCCCCTCTGGAGCGCGCCACCTCCGCCCCCCACTTCCTGTGTCTGGGTCTCCCCGTCTGTGGCGCGTCTCCCAGGGGTCTCCAGTCTGCGGGGTGCGCGCCTGTCTCTCCGAGTTCCGCGCCACTCTCCGTCTCCCTGCGTCTCTCTGGGCTCTGGTTCCGCCCGCGTCTCCCGGTGCCCGGTCCATTCTGTGCGTTCCCAGAGCTCCGTCTCTGTCTACATAAGTCCTCCTTCCTCTCTCGCCATCTCTGTGTGTTTCCACTGTCTCAGCTTTCCTGTGGCTCTGTCTGTCTGTCCCCACGTCAGGGTGTGTGTCTTCCTCCGCCTTCCCTGCCCCTGTCCCTCTGTCTCTCGGGGTCTGGCCCCCACCTCTCTCTCTTCCTCCTCCTTCTCTTAACTCTCCCGCACACCTTTGCCTCCACCCCTGGCAGCGGGGGGACCCGGAGGAACAAGAACCTCCCGGCAGAGTGGGCTCCCCCAGAAGGTGAGGAGTCCCCAAACTCCTCTCCCTTCTGCAGACAAGCTCCCTCCCACCCATCCAGCCGGCGCGCACCCTGTTCCTCCCGGAAGACCGAGTCCTGGAACTCCCCACTTGTTCCCGGCTTTCTGAGGCCAGTCAGGTTTCTGAGACCTCAAGAGGTCTCACCCGGACCCTCTGCAGCACAGGTGGAGCCAGCCCTTTCTTCCCTGTGGCCTCCCCATTCCTCCTCATATGGAGCAGACCAGTCCTGCCTGCAGTCTGACTTCCGCATCTCTTGCTGTTTGTCCATTCACGACTTATTCAGCCTCTTCACAATTTCTGAGCAGCTTTCCTACTCCGGGCACAGCACTAGGTCCAAGGCCAGTCCCTCCTGCAGTCTCGCCTCCACCCCACGCACCCCATTCAGTCCTGTCTTCTTGTGGGGATGGACCTCAAAAGCTACCCCACCACCCACTGGCGGCGTCGAGAGGGCCCTTCTGAGTCTTGAGGTCCCTGGCCAATACCTTCCTTCTTTCCTGGAGGGAAGGGGCCCCAGAGGAGGTGGGCGACAGTGGGCGATGAGGGGGGAGGGGTGCACCTGAATGTGCAGCCCACGCCAGGGTGGGGCGAGGCCTCGGGTGCCCACCCGTGGCCCCCGATGGGTGAGAAAGGGCACTAGCGTGGGAGTCCCACAAACTGAGCTGCCATCTCTGCTCTGCCCCTCACCTGAAGCTGTGTGGCTTGGCCAAGCTCTTTCCCTCCTAGACTTCAGTTTACCCAGTTTACCCATTGGCGTATTAAAGCACTGAGCAGTGTGTGTGTGTGTGTGTGTGTGTGTGTGTGTGTGTGTGTGTGATCTCCAGCTGTGAGGGTGCAAGGCTCCCCCTGAGGCAGTAAGCGTGCATGTTCAGAAGCCCGGGTCCCCACCTCACAAATCTCTTCCCCACCTTCCGCATTTATTTCAGGAGCAGCGGGCACCCCCTGCCCCCTCCGCCAGCACAGTCAGGTCCACCCTTCCCTCATGCCAGGCTGGACCCCTCCTGGACCTTTCTCTAGGGATGACCCAGCTGGCCGCCAGCCCGCGGCAGTGGAGAGAGAGAGAGAGAGAGAGCCCCGGGAGAGGGTGTCAGCCATCTGCCCGCCCGGCTCCCACCCTGGCCTCCACCTGATCCCTTTGCCCCTGGATTCCAGACCCAGATTAGGTTTCGGTGCTGCTGATGGAGCGGGAGAGGCAGAGGCAGGAACCTGGAGGAGGGAGGGCCCCCGGCTGTCCCCGGGGACAGGACTCAGACCTCGTGCTGTTCATCTCACAAATATTTATCTTGTGCTTTCTCTCCTCTCCGAAGGCCTCTGTGAGAGGCAGCCAGGTTTTTGAGGAAAGGGGATTGGACCGGCTGTTGTCTCCAGCCCCTGGGCAGGGAGAGCGGGCACAGCAGCTCTCCAGGACCCCGGCCTCCCTGGAGGGCGACAGAGGGAGGGACAGGTGGTTAGACAGAGGGGGGAACTTCCCAGGCCACGGCCCCTTCCACGAGAGAGAGAGGGGAGTAGACGCTGTAGATGGATTCCCGACTCCCAGGTGGCCCTTGTTCTTCCTGAAAGCTGGGGAGGAGGGTGGGGGAAAAGCATGAGTCTTTGCTTTGGATCCTGGTGGGTTTGTAATTATGCCTAAGTCGTTGCTAATTAGGGGGCTGCTAATTAGACATATCATTAGAGGACCTGCCGATGGAGGCTAATTGTGCGGTGGCCCTTTAAGAATCACCCCCCTCTCCCGCCTACACACACACACACACACACACACACACACACACACACTCCTTTCCCAGGGAGGTTCTGCCAACACGCTGCTGCTCCCTCTCTCCCGGAGCAGCCAGCCAGCCCCCTGCCCGGGAGTGTGTGAGTAGGTGGGTGTGCATTGGGAGCAGGCTGTGGGTTAGACTCTGGGAAGAACTTTTTTCAGACAGAAATGGAAGATGCTGGAAGAAATGAGGCTGGTGATGGAGAGGGGTCGGGGTTGGTGGAGGCTCGGAGGACCCCTCCCTTCCTCTCTCACTTCCTTTTTTTATAGCCTATTGGGTTGGCATGGCAACGCAGGGGGCGGAGGAGCTGGAGGTCTGGGCCACTCCTGGAGAGAGACATTGGGAGCCACAGAGTCGCTGCTGGGAGGCTCCGGGCCCATTGTTGCCCCCGGCTGAGCCTTGGTCTTCTCATCTGTGAAATGGCTGCAGACTCCTCCGGGGGGGCTGGTGCCGTTTTGAACAGGAAGCGCAGGGCAGGCAACGTGTGAGTGGAGGCCTTGAGGGGCAGAGGGAGTGGACAGCTGGAGAAGACAGTCTGGCGAAAGGGGATCGGCAGGTGCAAAGTCCCTGAGGCAAGACCTTGCCCGGTGTGTATGTCGGGGGACCAGTGAGGAGCTAGTGTGGCTGGGGCCGACTGCGTGAGGAGAGAGATGGGGCCGGAGGCGGATTGGTGGTGAGCCGGGCGGAGGGCTGCGGTGCTCTGAGCAGGAAGCGAGCCGGAGAGGCTTCTGAGCAGAGGAGAGACCCAAACGGATTTGCAATTTTCAAAGGAGACCTGGACAAAACAGAGAGATAGCCACTCGAACCCAGGACCCGAGGCAAGAAGAGAATATTAAAACAGGAGAGACCCCATACCCACAAACGGAACAAAACCCCCCAAACAGGGTTCATGTGCCACGTAGCTCACCGAGATCAGGGGTACTGGAGAGACCCCCAGGAGAGGGAAAGATGCGGGGCGGGTCTTCCAGCACAGCCCCACTTGAGGCAGACAGACACACAGACACCCCAGCTGCTACCACTGCGCAGACTCCGAGCAGGAAAGGCCGAGTCAGAAATGTCAGAATCACCCTAATGAATCACTTTCAGCAGCTTGCCTCCCCGACTAAATCATTCAGCCTGTGTTTTTGGTTTGTTTGCTTTTAAAAAGATTTTCTTTCTTTACTTTGAGAGAGAGGGGGAAGGAGGAGGAAAGAGAGGAAGAGAAACATCAGTGTGTGCTTGCCTCTTGCATGCCCCCTACTGGGGGACCTGGCCCACAACCCACGCACGTGTCCTGACTGGGAATCAAATCAGCAACCCTTTGGTTTGCAGGCTGGTGCTCAGTCCACTGAGCCACACCAGCCAGGGCTCAGCCTGCGTTTTCTGTGCCTTGCATGTCTATGAGATTCATCTGTGTCATTGGGTGTAGCAGAAGCCCACTCCCTTTTCAGTGCTGTATAGTATTCCACGGTGTGCCCCCCACCCCACCCCTTGACATATTTCTCCCTTTTACTGCTGAAAAGTATCTGTGTTATTTCATGATGGCAGCTGTTATCCATAAAGCTGCCATGAAGGCCCTCGTATGTGTCTTTTGGTGGACACATGACCTATTTCTCTTGGGTCCCCGCCCGGGAGCGGAATCGCTGAGTCGTAGTTTGCGCAATGTTTGGCTACCGTTTCCCGAAGTGGCCGGGCCGAGTGAGGCTCCCATCTGCTGCGCGTCTGTCTTTATCTTGTCGTGTCTTTTCTCCCTTGGTCTGTGTCTCTCCCTCAGTCCCCATCCTCACAGCTGCCGCCTCAGTCCCAACCCCCAGCAGACCTTGAGGATGAGTCCTGCGCGTCAGGCAGGGCTGTGCTCCCCTCACCCTGTCTTCCTCCTCCTCTCCCCCCCCCGCAGGACCCCACCGCCCTCCATGGCTCCCCTGGCCTTGGTGGGGTTCACGCTCCTCCTGGGGGCTCCCCCGTGCTCGGGGGCAGCCACCCCGACCCCCTCTCTGCCACCTCCCGCTACCAATGACAGCGACGCCAGCACGGAGGTCTGCCAGGGCTCCAACCGCTGCCAGCCGGGGGTCCTACTGCCCGTCTGGGAGCCCGACGACCCGTCCCTGGGCGACAAGGCAGCCCGGGCCGTGGTCTACTTTGTGGCCATGGTCTACATGTTCCTGGGCGTGTCCATCATCGCCGACCGCTTCATGGCGTCCATCGAGGTCATCACGTCCAAGGAGAAGGAGATCACCATCACCAAGGCCAACGGCGAGACCAGCGTAGGCACCGTGCGCATCTGGAACGAGACGGTGTCCAACCTCACGCTCATGGCCCTGGGCTCCTCGGCGCCCGAGATCCTGCTGTCCGTCATCGAGGTCTGCGGGCACAACTTCCAGGCGGGCGAGCTGGGCCCCGGCACCATCGTGGGCAGCGCCGCCTTCAACATGTTTGTGGTCATCGCCGTCTGCATCTACGTCATCCCGGCCGGCGAGAGCCGCAAGATCAAGCACCTGAGGGTCTTCTTCGTCACGGCCTCTTGGAGCATCTTTGCCTACGTCTGGCTTTATCTCATCCTTGCTGTCTTTTCCCCAGGTGTGGTCCAGGTGAGCAAGGACCCGGGGACACCTTCCTGGTGCCCGTGTGTCTGACAAACCCAGAGGGGTGGTTCCCCGGGGCTCGGAGGGTCGACTCCTGCACCTGCGGAAATGCATGCTCGCCTGCGAGAGGGCCGCCAGCTACGCCGTGTGGGGGACGCACGGCACGAGAGCTTGGGGCTGGAGCCCAGCGGGTGCCCCCAAACCTTGTCTAGATGGGTCTGCAGACCCTGGAAAGGGCTCATCTGTCCAGAGTGGGGTGCCTTTTGCAATGCGCCCATCCTTTTAACTCTGGCCCGGGTACCCCATGCGCTGCCAGGGTCCTTGTGATGTGTGGGAGGTAGACAGCAGTTCACAGTGTAGCCAGGTATTTGCTAGGTGTGTTCACGCTTCCCTGCTCCCCCCGCTTTGTGCATTATTTATTGCTACTTTTGCAATAAGGCACCGCCCCCCCTTTGCACAATTCATGCCGCAGCTGCCCGATCCAGCGTTGTGTTTTCTGACAGCGCTAATTGATTTGGGGAACTTGGTGCCATTTGCATAATTCACCCATGGACGTGCTCAAAGTCGTGCCCACATCTGGGTCATCAAACTCTGTATTTACCAGCTATGCGGGCCGTGGTCTGCACCCTTCGTTCATTATTCATCATCCAGTGCTGGCGTGAGGATAATTTATGCCGCCTCACTGTAATTCACACTCCCTTCAGCGTAGGTAGAAGCTCAGGCCACAGCAAAGACCACTTTGCATAATTTATTCCAAGAGCGAGACAGAATTGAAACCCAGCTGCATAATTACACCCACACGCACATACCCATTTGCCTCGCGTTTGTCCAGTGTCTTAACCCACACCCTGCGGAGCCTTCCTTTAAAACATTTGCCTAATCTAGTTTCCACCATCCGGAGACACGGCTGTCTACATTTGCATAATTTATTTATGGGCCTGCCTAATTTATTCACACGCGTGCATAATTTATTTGAGGCTACCCAGGATTCCTTCACACATGGGGAATCTATTCACGTGTATCAGTCCGTTTTTGCCGGTTCCGTGTTTCTTTCCAGGGAGGATCTGAGGGTAGAGGCATGAAATTCTTTGCAGGTGAAGGTACGGAGAGGAAAGGGGCAGATGGCGCCAGAAGACAGAGACGAGGGAGGGGGAGAGACAGTTGCTATGACGAACGAGTTTCCTGGTGGCCATAGCGAAAAGTACAGAGTGGTGCGTCCCAGTTCTCAGCCGCTGTTAAGAAGGACGGTCTCCTGACTTAGGTTTTCAAAACTGTCTTTGATGAGGATTTACACCCAAACCGTGAGACGAATCTCAGGCACCCCGGATGAGAGGTGGGGTAGGGATGGGCGTGGAGAAGAGATGCCCCCCCCCCCCATAGAAGGAGCTGGCCCCGATGTGGGGAACCGAGGACATGAGACTTCATGGTTCTGGGTGAAGTAGCCACGGAGGGCCCTTCTGGGAGTAATGACAGAGACCAGACTGAAGGGACATTTCTGTGAAATGACTGAAGGAACTGGCCTGAGGGAAAGATGTCGCCAGTGTCTCCTAGATGCAGCGAGCTGCGACAGTGACAGGATTGGTCTGGCTCTGGATTTTCTCCAGGAGGGCTGTGTGGCCTCAGGCAAAATCTGTACCCTCTCTGGGCCTCAGTTTTCACATTCCAACCCTGGAAGGGGGTGGAACTAGACCCACTGCTTCTTAACTTCATACCAGAAGCTCCTTTTTTTAATAAGAGATATTTTGTTGTATCCCTTCTAATCTGCTGATACAAGAAAGATTCTTAGATAATAAGAAAGAGGGCTTCTAGCCTCAGAGTTGCGTGAACCCTGGAGCCAGGGGCCTGGGTTCAAATCCCAACTCTGCTGCTTTTGCGCTGTGTGGCCTTGGTCCAGTTCCTTACCTGCTCTGTGCCTCAGTTTCCCCCGCCAGCTGGGGATCGTCATAGTACTAACCTCAGAGGACGACATGAGGACCAGTGATTGCTGCATGTAGAAGGACTTCGAACAGCCAGCCGGGGCCTCATCATGACCTTTCATGTCGTCCTGCCAGAACATTTGCTCCTGGAAACACACACTGTTCTATGAGAGATGGTTTTCCTTTATGTCAAAGTTCGGGCATGGTACTGACTTTGGGAAGCCAGCCACATAGGCAAGTTCTAGTTCATCCATGAGAAGAACGGCTCGGCTCTGCCTGCTGTGGCTCAGTGGATTGAGCACAGGCCTACTAACCAAAAGGCCACCGGTTCAATTCCCACTCGGAGCACACGCCTGGGTTGCAGGCCAGGTCCCCCGTTTGGGGCCTGTGAGAGGCAATCACACTGATGTTGCTCTTCTTCTCTCTCTCCCTTCCCTTCTCTATGCAAATAAATACATAGAATCTTTAAAAACTAAGTCACAATGAGGGAGCCCAATGCTGGCACCTACTTATAAAGAACAAGTTTGGGATTAAAGGACAAAGAAAGATGAGAGGCCGTTCCATGCGAGGACTCGGGATTCAGGAGGAAGAGCAGGTAGCCACAAGGTTAAAAATGAGCGTATTCAACATGCCTTAAACCATACAGAAAAATGCCTCATATATACATAAGAGCAAGTTGAGTTAGTTCTAGACTCCAATTATTATTTTTTTTATTATTTTGATTTTCGAGAGAGGGGAAGGGAGAGAGAGAGAGAGAGAAAAACATCGATGTGAGAGAGAAACATGGATTGGCCGCCTTCTGTACGTGTCCTGACTGGGTACAGAACCTGCAACCCAGGCGTGTGCCCTGACTGGGAATCAAACTGGCGACCTTTTGTTTGCCCAACCAACTGAGCCACACCAGCCAGGACTAGACTCCAGTTATTACAGGCAGGGTTTTCAGTAGGAGGTTTTGAAGTCAGGCAGGATATGAGACAATTCTGTATCATGGGCGGCTGTCCCATGAGTCGCTGGATGTCACCAGACGGGGATCATATCCCTGTCCCCAATTATGGCGGCAATCCATATGCACCCCTAGATTTTTGATACCCCCTCTTGGGGGCGTTCCTGTCTCACTCTTCTCCCAAGGAGGGCAAGTTCACATGCCCCTTTGCCCCCTTTTTTTCCCCAAAGATTTTATTTGTTTAGCATGCACTCCCTGCTGGGAACTGGCCTGCAACCCAGGCATGTGCCCTGACTGGGAATCGAACCACAATCCTCTGGTTCACAGGCCCGCGCCCAATCCACTGAGCTACACCAGCCAGGGTTCCACATGCCCTTTTGCAGTGGGTCCTTTAAAAGGAAGATGGGAATCTGCTAGAATCCCCTTTTACTGTTGATTTTAACTTTTTAAAATCCTCACCTGAGGATGTTTATTGATTTGAGAGAGAGAGAAACACGTATGTGAGAGAGAAATGTGGATCGGTCGGTCGCCTCCCGTACATGCCCTAACTGGGAACCGAACCCACAAAGTTTAGGTGTATGGGGTGCCACTCCAACCACTGACACCCCCCCAACACACACACATGCACACACACACACGGCCAGGGCTAGAATCTCCTTTTATTTACCTGCAGGGAAGAAAGCCAGCCTCAGAGGGTTTTGGATTTTCTTCTGATTGAAAGAAAATCCCCTGCAACATACACAGTGGCCAGTTCAGCAACCACAAGACGAGGGTTCCATTTGCAGCTTGTGCAGGAAATGCGCCTGCTTTTCCCAAACCTGCCCGGTCGCTTTGGTGCAGGTTTGCTGTGTCCGAGTCCTGCCTTTTGCCTGAGCCATCAGTAAACACAGTGACAGGGGCCTTTGGCGACTGGATCTGAAAAGATATTTTCCCTACCACACTCGTGTTTAAGATACCTCTGGCGCCTTCCAACAGTAAACACTCCATCATCTTTTCTTCCTTTAACAAGAAAGGCGACATTTGAGTCTTTGCACAGATATGTTCAAGGTGTTAGTGGATGTGCCCTGTGTGCCCAGATTGGTGCCAGTCCGGGGCAGACTGAGTCTTGGACTTCAACCAGCCCATGATAACGGCACTAGTAATGATGATGATGATAAGAATGGGAATTTTACATTCTGAGTACTTTTCCTATGTCAGGAACTGACAATGCTGCGTGCAAGGGGTGCGTAACCCGTCCAGTCTTGGGGATGTCCCCGTTTCCCAGCCCAGAGACTGGGCCAGACATCCCAGGGTCTGACCTGAGCACAGGCTGGCTCCCCGGGGGGAGGCAGCGTGTAAACATGGGAACTCATTTCCCGAGGCTGTGAGAGGAGCCAAACTGCGCCTCTTTTAGAATCAGAGTCCTGTCCCCGAGGGCCAAATTCCAAGGGAGGAGAGCCGGCCAGGGCTGTATTCCCTGGTGGTGGCGGGGAATCCAGGGAGTTTGGGGAGGAGGCGGGTGGCACAGGTCCTGGACCACGGCCAGGGTGTGGAGAAGTGGAGGTGTCCCGGGTTGGGTGGGCGGGGAATGGAGTAGGGAGAAAACAGTGGAGGGAGAGGGAGGCAAGAAGTCACAAGTTCTGCCCCCACAGCAGGGGCTGGGACTAGGGGGCGGGCGGGGACTCTCCCTGGGTGGTGGCTGAGAATATCTGGGTTCCTGGCACTTGGGCAGCTGGGCACCGTTCCCAGCATGGGAACAAGTGGATGAATGAGGAGGCCGGGAAAGAGTCAGGGACAGAGACAGCCAGAGGCCGAGCAAGAGACTCTGAAGAATCTCACAAGGGAAAGAGGTATCTACAAAATACGTAAAGGACGTGGCCCTGGCTGGTGGATGCGCGCCGGCCTGCGAACCAAAGAGTAACCTGCTCGATTCCAGGTCAGGGCAGGTGCCTGGGTTATGGGCCAGGTCCCCGGTAGGGGGCGCATGAAGTCACCACACATTGATGTTTCTTTCCTTTTCTTTTTCCCTCCCTTCCCCTCGCTCTAAAAATATAAATAAACAAAATCTTTAAATATATATAGAGAGAGATGCCACAAGAGGTACCAAGGAAGGAAAAGAGACCAAGTAGGAGGGAAGATTAAAAAAATCACCCCAGAATGAGACAGAGGCAGGGAGAGAAAGACCTAGACAGACAGAGAGAGAGAGATGGGAGGAGACAGAGACAAGGGAGACAAAAAGAGCGGGGGTGGGGGGGACAGAGAGAGGGTCGGAGACGGCAGTCCGAGATGGGGAGAGATGCGAAGAGATGCGGATCAGGGACGCGGGAGCCCCCGCCGAGGTTAGGGGCCCAGGCGGGGGAGACAGACTGACGCCGAGAGCGGGCAGGCGGCTGCGAGCGCGCCCCCTGGCGGCGCGGCAGTCGGTCCTGACCCGCGGCCGCCCGCAGGTGTGGGAGGCGCTGCTGACCCTCGTGTTTTTCCCGGTGTGCGTGGTGTTCGCCTGGATGGCCGACAAGCGGCTGCTCTTCTACAAGTACGTGTACAAGCGCTACCGCACCGACCCGCGCAGCGGCATCATCATCGGCGCCGAGGGCGACCCCCCCAAGAGCATCGAGCTGGACGGCACGTTCGTGGGCGCCGAGGTGCCGGGCGAGGTGGGCGGCCTGGGCCCGGGCCCGGCCGACGCCCGCGAGCTGGACGCCAGCCGCCGCGAGGTCATCCAGATCCTCAAGGACCTCAAGCAGAAGCACCCGGACAAGGACCTGGAGCAGCTGGTGGGCATCGCCAACTACTACGCGCTGCTGCACCAGCAGAAGAGCCGCGCCTTCTACCGCATCCAGGCCACGCGGATGATGACCGGCGCGGGCAACGTGCTGCGGCGACACGCGGCGGACGCGTCGCGCCGCGCCTCCCCGGCCGAGGGCCCCGGCGAGGACGAGGACGACGGCGCCAGCCACATCTTCTTCGAGCCCAGCCTCTACCACTGCCTGGAGAACTGCGGCTCCGTGCTGCTGTCAGTCACCTGCCAAGGCGGCGAGGGCAACAGCACCTTCTACGTGGACTACCGCACCGAGGACGGCTCCGCCAAGGCGGGCTCCGACTACGAGTACAGGTGGGTGCCGGGGCTGGGCCGCAGGGGGCGCTGTCCGCAGGCCGTAGGCTCCGCCATTCCGCAGCCTCTGGGCTCACGGGTCTGCAGGCTACCTCCGGGCCCCGCCTTTACTCTGCTGTGGGCGGGCCTGCAGGATTCATTCCCTTCATTCATTCACTCTCGAGCGCCTACTTTGCACCAGACACTGTTCCAGGCATCTGGCATGCGCTGCGGGACAAAAGAACGCGAGTGTCCACCGTGCCCTGGGTGCCCCTTTTCTGTTCGTTATGACCTGTGGGTTCTCGTGCTTGGCACCTCACTGTTAGTGTCGTAGCTCCCATTACCCGTGTTGTTACCTGGTAGAGCAAGTACCTCGCCCCCGACACCCCATTACTAAAGTAAAAATGTTTACTGAGCACCTACTGTGTGCCACAGGCATATCGTGGTCCACAAGACATCTATGGCTCCCACCCTCCGGTTACAATAAGGCCATAAACTATTAAACATGTAAAAACATCAATGCTATGTGGGAAAATTAAGTAGGATAAGAGGCCCTGGCTGGTGTGGCTCAATGGGTTGAGTGCTGGTTTGTACATCCAGAGGTCACTGATTCAATTCCCAGTCAGGGCAGATGCCTGGGTTGTGGGCTAGGTCCCCAGTTGGGGGTATGCAAGAGGCAACCATACATTGATGTTTCTCTCCCTCTCTCTCTCTCTAAAAGTAATAAATAAAATCTTAAAGTAGGATAAGGGTGACGGTGCCCAAACCGTCCCCAGGTCTTTGGCTCTACCATAAAGCACCCTACTGAGTCTCACCGCCCTCTCCTCACACCCACTTGGGCAGACCTGTGATCCTCCCTCGTTCAGCAATTCCTACTGAGCACCTACCCTGTGGTACCAGCTGCTGTTTTAGTGGCTCAACATAAAAGACTCCAGAAGATAACGTCTCTGTCCTCATGTAGCCCATAAAATCCTTTACCTATTTGTAATTCTCTCCATACCACACTCTTCCAAGAATTAGAGCTTTACAGTATAGTCAGTTAACTGATGTGCACATCGCCCATAGTTCCCTGTCGTAGTTAGTAACACCTGCTGTGTGTCGGCTGTGTGTCAGAGATGGGTCCGGGCCGTGGAGACCGGCAGTGAATGAAACGCACGCGGTCCCCGCCCAGACGGAGTCAGCGTCCTCGCGGGGAGACAGGCCACTAGGAAGCATACTCTGAACACGTAAACGAGTCAGGAAGTGGTAAGAGCTGCAAAGAAGACTGAAGCAGAGGACGGGAGAGAGGCTGGTGGAGGCTGAGCTTTCCGCGGGAGCCGCCTGCTGAGTCATGCACCACACCTCCCTGTCACCCTCTCCCTGAACTACTCACGGGTTTTTGGCGCTGCCATCACGCGGCAGCCAGCCCCTCACCCAGATTCACAAACTCTTCCTGTTTTTGTCCCAATTGCCTTCACTCTCTTGATTTTTCAAAAAAAGATTTTATTTCTTTATTTTTAGACAGAGGGGAAGGGAGGGAGAAAGAGAGGGAGAGAAACATCGATGTGTGGTTGCCTCTCAAGCGCCCCCTACTGGGGACCCGGCTCACAACCCAGGCATGTGCCCTGACTGGGAATCAAATTGGCGACTGTTCGGTTGGCAGGCCTGCGCTCCGTCCACTAAGCCCCACCAGCCAGGGCTCTCGCTTCAACATATAATGTTAATAATCGTGGCGCTCTGAGTTGCAGACAGCGTGACCCTGCGTGCATCTGCTGAGAGTCATGACATTCTCCTACATAATCACAACCGATGATCACACTCAGGACGTTTACTACTGAGTCGATATTGTCCCAGCGTCTGCTCCCAGCTGGTCCCTGTAGCATCCTCTGCGGCCGTGCCTTCACTCCCTCCCTCTTTTCCCGCCCTTCCCAGAAGCACTTGCTGTGTCTGACTGTCCTATCCCCGTCTCCTTCATTCTGGGTCAGCCCCCCTCCTCCTCTCTGTGGCTTCTGTGACCCCGACACTTTTAGATGTGACAGACCAGTTACTGGAAGTGTCGTCGGTTTGGGTTTGTCTGCCGTGTCCTTGTGGTTAGTCAGGTGATGCGCTTCGGGCAGGAATCCACGGACGTGCTGCTGTGTCTCCTTGGCGCCAGGAGGCACATGATACCCACTTGTCCCCTTCCTGGGGACGCGATGTCCAGTCTAACTGGTAAACATGGCGCCCAATCACCGCCTTCTACCAACCCTTAAGTCTACATTTCTTGTTGAAGTATTTTCAGTTACAGTTGATATTCAGTATCATATTAGTTGCAGGCACCGTGCACAGTTATTACAATATTACTGACATATTCCCTGTGTTGTACTTCCATCCCCGTGACTACTTTGTAACTGCCAGTTCGTACTTCTTACTCCCTCCACCCTTTTCTTTCTCTTGTTATTTACATTTTATTTATTTATTCTTTAGAGAGAGGGAAAGGGAGGGAGTCAGAGAGAGAGAGAAACATCAGTGTGCAAGAGAAACATCACTCGGTCGTCTCACGCGTACTCCCAGCCAGGGAACTGGCCAGCAACCCAGGCATGTGCCCTGACAGGGAATCGAACTGGTGATGGTTTGGTTCGCAGGCGGGTGCTCAGTCCACTGAGCCACACCAGCCAGGGCTGCCCTTCACCCTTTTTGCCCTTTTCACCCAGATTCCCTATCCCCCCCCCATTGGGCAGCCGCCAGTTTGTTCTCCATGTCTATGAGTCTGTTTCTGTTTTCTTTGTTCATTTATCTCGTTTCTTTTTTACACTCCACATATAAGTGAGTCATATGGTATTTGTCTTTCTCTGTCTGACTTATTTCACTCAGCATAATACCCTCCAGGTCCATCCACATTGTCACAAATGGTAAAATGTCATTCTTTTCTATGGACAAATAACGTTCCATTGTGTGTGTGTGTGATATATATATATATATATATATATATATATATATATATACACACACACACATATACACCACATCTTTCTCCACTCATCTACTGATGGGCACTTAAGTTGCTCCCATATCTTAGCTATTGTAAATAATGCTCCAATGTGCCCTGGCTGGTGTAGCTCTGTGGATTGAGCACTGGCCTACAAACCAAAGGGTTGCTGGTTCAATTCCCAGTCAGGGCACATGCGTGGGTTGTAAGCCAGGTCCCCAGTAGGAGGCATGTGAGAGGCAACCACACACCGATGTTTCTCTCCCTCTCTTCCCCTCTGTCTAAAAATAAATAAATAAAATCTATCTAAAAAATAGTGCTGCGGTGAACATAGGGAGTGGACCTGGCGGGTTGTAAGATACTTCTATTTTTTTTATTTTTGAGGAATATCACACTGTTTTCCACAGCGGCTGCACCAATTTCCGTTCCCACCAACCGTGCACGAGGGTTCTCTTTTCTCCACATCCTCTCCAACACCTGTTTGTTGACAAGTTGACATTTCTAACAACCCATCACTTCAGGATTCTAAGATTCCAATCTGAACATGCAACTATTACTAGCCAGCTTTCGTTGGGTGCTTTTCCTGTATTAACGCCATCCTTATAACACCATCAGGCAGACACTATTATTAGCTCCGTGTTACAGACTTGGCAGACTGAGGCTCAGAGGGCTGCAGAGCCCTAACTGCCTGACCCTTATTCCCTGCATCCCAGGTCTTATCGTCAGGCTCCGCCCCTTCGCCGGAACCTGGGGATCCCTCCGCCCCTCCCACAGGGCTGGGCTTCCCTTCGGCAACTGGAGGCCCGGGCCCTTTCTTGCGAAAGTGACAGGAGTAAAGATAATGAACAGCTGTTGTTCACATAGCGCATTCCAGAACCAGAGCCAAGCCCCTGAAGTGCATGATGGGAGGGGTTAGGAGGGACGGTTAGAGATTTTTCAAGCGCACCAACAACCCAGAGTCACTGATGTCTACGGCCCTGCCAGGGGGAGCCCATTCACTCCTTGTCTGCTCACAGTCTCACCCTGACTCCCTAACGTCACTGCCTCATTCCTTCCCCCGCCCTATCATGCGGCATCTTGTACGTGCTTCAGAGACTTACACGGCGGACGCTCTGCAAACCTAAGCCAGCTCACACCCCTCCTCTGCTCCCAGCCCTCCCAGGCTCCCAATTCACTTGGGGCAATCGCCACAGGCCTCATCATGGCCCACTAAGGCCTTCGACACTGCTCCCATTCCCCCCTCTGTGACGTCACCTCCCATCCTCCACTGCAGCCACACTGGCCTCTCTGTGGTTCTTCAAACGCTCCAGGCCCGCTCCTGCCTCAGGACATTTGCACAGGCTGTTCCCTTTAACACCAGTTCTCCTCCCCAGATACCCCCCACTTGACTCCCACCCTCAGGTCACTGCTCAAATGCCACCTGCTCAGCGAAGCTTCCCTTGACCCCCCCGAACGCAGCACCCTCCCCTCACCCTCCTGCCTCTCCCTCTATTTCTCTCCCTCACACCTCGCCACCTGACCACACGTTCATTATTCATCTCCTGCCCGAGAACAGAAGCTCCACCAGAGCGAGCACCCTGCTCTGCTCTGGTTTCACTGCGGTCTCCCCAACACTTAGAACAGTGCCTGGTGCACGGCAGACGTTCGGGAAATATTTGTTGAGAATGAATCAATTGTAATTAAATCTCTGAATGTATCATTGTCACTGGGATATGGCTCTGCCCCGTGAGCCCTGTGAAGACAGAGGCTGTGCACCACCGTGTCCCCAGCCATGCCGGGCACAGGGCACGGGGCACAGAGCAGGTGCTTAGGGAATGTCTGTTGAGGAATGAATGGGGCGGGGTTAAGGGGCGTGGCCTTTCTCCTGGGGGCACCTGAGAACAGAGAAGCGTTTGTCGGGAGCGTGACCAGGTCAATTCTGGGCCCTACATCACTTCTCGGAGTGTGGTCCATTTCCCAGGACCACCTGCATCCCCTGGGAGCTAGTTAGAAATGCAGAGTTTTGAAACCTGCCTCTACCAAATCTGCAATTTAACGGGATCCCACACGGAATTTAAGGTTTGACACTTGTGACTGTGGAACCCTCCATATTCACACTCTACCTTGGGACTTCGAATGTGCTGTTCCCTCTGCCTGGAGGGCTCCTGCCCACCAGCGCCTCCCCCAGGAAGCCCGCCCTGATGTCACCTTCATGGTTATCTGTACAATCCTGGCTCTCCTAACCCTCAGGCTTCCCCTGTGGGAGGGACCAACTCTGTCTTGGTCCCCTTCTCTCCAGAAGCCCTTCCTGATTCCACCTAGGTATTATCTGTGTAATGCCTGTCCACTCATACCTGTGAGTTGTCCCGCGGCACCACCCCCTCCTCCGGGAAGCCTGCGCTGTCTCCCCTCCCCCCAAAGGACTGCCCACCCTTCACTCCTTTCTTTCTGGCTCCTCCACTGCAGCGAGGGCACGCTGGTGTTCAAGCCGGGCGAGACGCAGAAGGAGCTGCGCATCGGCATCATCGACGACGACATCTTTGAGGAGGACGAGCACTTCTTCGTGAGGCTGCTGAACCTGCGCGTGGGCGATGCGCAGGGCATGTTCGAGCCCGATGGCGGAGGGCGGCCCAAAGGGCGGCTGGTGGCGCCTCTGCTGGCCACCGTCACCATTCTGGACGATGACCACGCGGGCATCTTCTCCTTCCAGGACCGCCTGCTGCACGTGAGCGAGTGCATGGGCACCGTGGACGTGCGCGTCGTGCGCAGCTCCGGCGCGCGTGGCACTGTGCGCCTCCCCTACCGCACGGTGGACGGCACAGCGCGCGGTGGCGGTGTGCACTATGAGGACGCGTGCGGCGAGCTCGAGTTCGGAGACGACGAGACCATGTGAGAGCGCCCGCCAGCAGCCCCGGCGAGGGGGCGGGGCCTATTTGGGGGCGGGGCCGCGTCTGGGGAGTGGCTAGATGGGGCGTGGTCTGTAGTGGGCGTGGCCCGCGAGTGGGTAGTTCCTGGTGGGAAATAGAAAAGTCAAGGAAGGTGGGCGGGACCCAGAGTGGGGGCGGGCAAGGAAGGAGGAGTCAGGGATAATGGGGTGTGGTCAAGATGGTGGGATGGTGGTGTGGGCGGGGCCTGGGGGAACCGGGCTGGTTGGGGAGAGGAGGGTGGGACTCCGGGAGCAGAGGTCAGATGAGGAGAGGAGGATAAAGGCCTGGGCAGAGGAGTGTGGAGCGCTTAATTGGTAGCTAGTGGAGGTAGATTGTGGCCTGAGTAGATGAGGGGAGGGTCCCGTCGAAGTGGGAAGAGGATGAAACAGAGGAAATTCTGTGGAATGGAGAAAAGGTCTAAGACATGGGCGAGGCCTGGGTAGGGTCACAGGGAAATAAACCAGGACAGCGGAAGAGGGCGGGGACAAGGGGATGGGGCGGGGTTTGTGAGTGGTAGGTAGAACCTGGGGAAATAGGAGACCGAAGGGGAATGTGGGCGGTGCTTGGGGAAAGACTGAGTGGGAATGAATGAGGGGCCTGGGGAAAATGGGAGGCTGGGATCTGCGGCGGTGGGGTGGGGTCTGGGGAGGCAGGCTGGATACACAAGCATACCTCTGTAGACACACAGACACAACCGACACACGCCCGAGCAACATACAGCCACACGAAGCCACTGACTCGCACCCTGAAACACAATCAGGGATCCTCTCACACCCGGACACCCGGACACCGCCCTCCGCAGATTGATGCCCGTGTATCCCCGTGTGCGCCCGCCGCTTCGCCTCCCCCTCCCGCTCGCCCGGGAGGCAGCAGGCGCCTTCCCGCTTTGCCAGCTCCCTTCCGCCGCCCCCGCACGCCCGTCTGTCTCCCTCCTCCTGCCGCCCACGCTCCTCCCACGGAGCAGAGTCCCCGCCGCGCTCCTTCCCCCTCCTCCTCCTCCCAGCCTCTGAGCCTGGGCCTCCGCCCAGCTCCTCGCCCACCGCTCCCGTCTCTCCAGGTCTCCCTGCGCTCCCCCTCCGGGCAGTTTCCCTCCGGGTCTCCATCCACCTCTAGGGCTCTGTCCCCCGTGTCTAGCTGTTGGGCCTGGGCTGTATTTCAGTAACGGATTCTCCACACCTTTCCGTCCTTCCCAGTGTCTGGCCTGGGTTGAGAACTTGGGTTGAGAACTTGGGTTGGGGGCTGAAAGCTCGGCCCGTAGAGGAGAGAGACTGCGAGAAGAGACAGACAGACAGACACGCCCAGAGACAGTGGAGACGTGGAGAGATCAGAGACGGGGAGGGCCAGAGTGACGGAGTCAGACACGGACAGGAGAGGGAGCATGAGAGAAACCGAAACACGGAAAGAGAAACTTAGGGAAAGAGACAGAGGGAGCGATAAACCGAGAGGCAGAGATGTGTTGAGAGGGGGACAGAGATTGAGCGGCTGACGTCGAGGAAGGCAAGGGGGACAGATGCCGGGGGAGATGAAGAGAGACATTCTGACTGAGAGAAACTCGGGGGACCCAGGGAGGAAGAGGTCCTGGAGAAGTAATAGAGAGAAAGAGGACTTTGGGTCCGTGAGAGAAGAGGAAGCAGCACGGGGAAGAGATCAGAGGCCACACCGGGTGGGAGAGTGGAGTTTCCAGGAAACACAGAGGACAGGCCCCGGCCGATGGCAGGGCAGGCTGGGGAGGAAGGCTTCTTCCCTGGGTCTCAGGAAGTCCTGCCTTTGTCTGGCTCTAGTCCCTCTTGCTGTCCCCTACCAGTTGGGTTTCGGGTCCTGGGTTCTCCGAGGGCACATGGATCAGGGTGCCCGTTGGCGTGCGTGTCAGTCACCGCGTGTCAGTGGATCACAGCGTGGCTTTAAGAGAGTGAGCGTCGGAGGTGTGTGTGTGTGTGTGTGTGTGTGTGTGTGTGTGTGTGTGTGAGCCTGTCAGCTTGTCACCCCGTTAGCAGCTGCCTGTGTGTGTCAGGGTGTGTGAGGAGCGGTTTTCCAGCAGACCCCGCGCCTCGCGGCGGCGTTTCAGCACCGCGGACAGCTCCCTGCCCACGCCCGAGGTGGGGGCCCGGGGTTGGTTCCACCCACAGAAAATTTAAAATACCCTGAGACAGGGTGAGGGTGGAGGTGGGCGTGTGTCCCCACAGGACCGTCTTGTGTGGATCTGTCTTTGCCTGGGTGTCGCTGTGGCCTGAGCATTTGTGTGTCCAGATGGCTCTGGTGGCCCCTTGGCCTGGACTTGGCCTTGGCCTGGGTTGACTCCCTCACTCCTTCCCATGGACTTTGAGAGACCCAGACAGAGAGAGAACAGATGGTGAAAGGCAGAGAGCCCCGGCCCCTGTGGCTCAGCTGTCTGGAGCGTCATCCCATAAACCGAAAGGTTGAGGGTTTGATTCCTGGTCAGTGCACATTAGGTTGCGGGTTCTTCCTCTGGTAGGGGCGTATACAGGACGCAACGGCTGGATGCTTCCCTTGCATCAGTGTTTCTCTCCTTCCTTTTCCCTCTCTAAAATCAACAAACGCGTCCTTGGGTAAGAATTAAAAAAAGAAGGAGAAAAGCAGAGACAGAGCCAGGGAGCAGGAGAGGTAGAGACGGAGGCTGAGAGATGGGGAGAGAGATGGAGGAAGATTGAAAGACCAAGATGCAGAGAAAGACGTGGAAGGGAATAAACAGACCCCGAAAGACATAAAAAGCCAGAACTACGGAAGCAGACTCTGCGTGGCACCACTGGGGGGATCAGCAGGTTGGCCATGTCCCCGCCTCTGGGCTGGGGGCGTCGCGTTCAGGGGCATCTGGTCCCCGCGGTTTTGCCCCTGCACAGGGAACAGCTGCGGGGTGCGGTGGTGTGCGGGTGTGGGCGGTGTGATTGGCTGCGCTTCCTCTGCTGGGTGACTGTGTGGGCCGCTGTTTGTGTTTCTGGGTTCTGGGGCTGGGCCTTGTGGCTCCTGCGGGAGGAACGTGCTGCCAGGGGCAGGGTGTGGGCTTCCGGGGGTGGTGGGTCTGTGATGGAGGGGAAGGGTTGTGTGCCTGAGGGGGAGGGGTAACTTCTGGCTGTTCTTCCCGCCCCCCTCGTTACCATAGCAGCAGGGATGCTGAGAAAATCAATTAGGACTCAGTTAACCCTCCAAATAGGACCAGGGCAGAGTGCAGGAAGCTGATGGCCTCCTGCGCGGAAGGATTCGAGTTAACTAATGTTTATGGAAGGTGCACCGTGTGTCCGGCGCCGGCGTTCTAGGCACTGGGGATACAACCGAGAAGTAAATGAACGAAGATCACTGCCCCAGGGGAACTTGAACTTTAACACGAAGAGGCAAATGTCAAAGGACACTAGATGCTGGGTTAGAAGGAAGAAGACAAGAGCAGAGAAGGGGGTCGGGGTGCTGGGGCGGGGGCAGGGATGGATTTCAGTATTAAAGAAGCTAATGGGAATGGGCCTCCTTGAAAAAGAAGGTGGAGCCTGGGCTGGGGCGGCTCAGTGGGTTGAGCGCGGGCCTGTGAACCAAAGGGCTGAGGGTTTGATTCCGGGTCAGGGCACAAGCCAAGGGTTGCGGGCTAGGTCCCCAGTAGGGGGCGCGCCAGAGGCAACCACACGTTGATGTTTCCCTCTCTCCCTCCCTCCCCCTCTCTAAAAATAAATAAGTAATAAAAATAAATAAAATCTATAGAAAAAGAAGGTGGAGTTTGAGAAGCAGAGGAAGTAAGGGGCTGAGCCTGGAGGGACGATGTTCTCAGCGGAAGGAAAGGCCGTGAGGCACAGGGCAGGCCTAGCTGTTCAAGGAACCGTGAGGGGGCCACGTAGCTGGAGTGAGAGAGCAAGGGGGCGGACGGAGGATGCCAGAAAGGGACCAGGGGCCAGGAGGTGGGGGGCTTTGTGGGCCGCTGGACTCTGGCTTCAATCCTCGGTGAAAAGGGAGCCCTGTGAGTGCAGTGAGCAGAGGAAGGACCCGCTCTGACTTGGGTTGTATCGGAATCCCTCGGGTTGCTGCTCTTTGATGAACCTCAGCTTCCTCAACTGGTTCTGGGCTTGCTTCTGCCAAATGGGGACAATGAGGTCAGGGCGGGGGGGGGGGGGGGCGGTGTTTCCACAGAGGATGGTTGCAAGGATCACAGGAGATTACAGAACCTGAGCGGTAGGGGGCGCTCCAGCAACCGGCTGGCTAGGAGGCCTGGTGTCTGATGGATGATTCAGACACCACGTAAGGGGCCTTACGCTGGGTGTCCTGCTTCTCTGCCTGCTCAGGAAAACTCTTCAGGTGAAGATAGTTGATGACGAGGAATATGAGAAAAAGGATAACTTCTTCATCGAGCTGGGCCAGCCGCAGTGGCTTAAGCGAGGGATTTCAGGTGAGGGGTGAGCTGTGGGAGAGGTAAAAGGTCCGGGGTTCGGGGGGGCCCTTGGGGGATCAGTGGTGGGCGCTCCTTCAAACTCGTGCATCTGAGCTGCCCAGGGAAGTCATCTCACTTTCTCTCTGTCTCTCCCCAGCTTTGCTGCTCAATCAAGGTGAGTGGAATTACCTCCTGGCTTTAGCTAGAGAGGGGGACACCAGGAGGAGTGTCTCATGTCTCAGGGGAGGGTCGTGGCCTCAAGCTACTCTTCCAGGTCAGGTGTGAGGCAGGTCAAAGGTGAGAGAAATGTAGATCGGGGCTGGGTGTGGTGTGGAGCTGGCCTTGGAGTTGGTAGAGCCTGTTGAGTTTGGGGTTACAGCTGGGGGTTCAGAGGCCAAGATCACGTTTTGTTTGTAGTTGATATTGGTGGGGGATGAGTCACAGAATCTGATCTGGGTTTGTGGTGGGGTCAGAGGGAGCCAGTCTTGGGATTTTTTTTTAGGACTGGGGTGGGGTTCAGATTTGAGATCAGGATTAGGACTGTGTCAAAGTTAGAGTTAAGATAGAAGTTGGTGTCTGGGTTTGTGATTGAAATTGGGGCCAGGCTCTGATGTTGGGGTGAGAGCTGGGGCTAGGGTCAGTGGCTTGAACATGGTGAAGAAGTAGAATTAGGGTTTGAGGCTAGAATTAAGGCTGGACTAAAAATTGTAATAGTCAGGGTAAGTCATACAAGCTGCTGTGACAAGTAGGCCCTAAATCCCAGTAGTAGAACACAAAAGGCACTTCTTTCTTGGGCAGAGTTTTCTGAGAGTGTGCCTCGCTGGTGGGTGGGCTTTCTTCTGGGAATTAGGGTTGGGTTGGTGCTGGCTTGGAGCAAAGGATCAATATACTTTAGGGAGATAAGTGAATTCAGGGCCAGTTATAGGAGGTCTAGGTTCCAGATTTGTGCCAAATGGGGTCTCCCCATCTTTCTTCAACCCCTCAAACGTACTCTGGGATGTGTTCAGAGCTTGGATGTGGAGACTAGGCCTCCTCCCTCAGGGACGTTGATGCTATTGATGATGATGTTGGTGATAATAAAGAAAATAACATTTCTGACTATTTACCACGTGCCAGACACTGCTCTAAACACCTCATGTGAATTAACACTTTTAACTCCCAGAAACCCCCTGTGAGGCAGGCGCTGCGCCCACTCTGTAGATATGAACACCCAAGGCACAGAGAGGCCAGAGCATTGCCCAAGATCACAGTCCCCACCATGGGAACCCACCCCCCAGAGCCCACAGACTTAGCCTCATGGCTCAGCCGCGGGAGCTGGGACTCAGTGCTGGGGATGGTGGTGGTCAGAGAGGAGGCTGGGGCCAGCCGCACAGGGTCACCCAGGAGGTTCCTCAGAGGACACAGATGGGTAGTGAAGGCATCACAGGCCCAGTTGGGCAGGCCTCCCTGGAGTCTAACTCCCACGCCTCACGCTGCAGGGGATGGGGACAGGAAGCTCACAGCGGAGGAGGAGGAGGCTCGGAGAATAGCGGAGATGGGCAAGCCGGTGCTTGGGGAAAACTGCCGTCTGGAGGTCATCATCGAAGAGTCGTACGATTTTAAGGTGACTTCCTGGGGCCTCCCGTTCTTGGAGTTTTGCCTGAGTCCAAGAGGGGATGAACTATGAGAGGCACAAGGAAGGGGCAAACAAGGGTCCGAAGCCATCCTGCAGGTCCCTCTGTTAGCACCGTGGACAGCTCAGCCTCCCGGGTCGGCTGGGGGGTGTGGAAGGTAGCCGACCCCTGAGCAACCTTCCACGGGGCATGGGGTGTGGGCCCCCAACCCCAGTCCCTCACGGGGCCCTCCGGGATGGTCACCAGCAGTGACGTTTTCCTCACCCTTCTGTCCCCAGAACACCGTGGATAAACTCATCAAGAAAACGAACTTGGCTTTGGTGATTGGCACCCATTCCTGGAGGGAGCAGTTTTTAGAGGCCATCACGGTGAGCGCAGGTAAGTGGGGAGGGAGGAGAGAGAGAGGGGGGAGCAGGGAGGCAGAGACGCAGAGAGAAATGAACGGAAAGACAGAGGGAAGGAGAGATGAGCAGAGAGATAGGGAAGAAAAGGCACAGGCAAGACACGGAGAGGGCAGACGAAAAGGAAAAGGCAGAAAGAAACGGGCACAGGGGGATGAAAAGGTCAGGAGAGGTACAAACAGGAGACAGGTGCGCAAAGAGAGGTGCACAGAGAATCTCGGAGAAAGACAGAGATGCAGCGGAGGGGGGCGGAGGTAGTCAGGGAACAGCGGAGGGCCAGAGTGAGGGGAGGAAGACACTGAGAGAGGAGGGGCAGCGCCGCGGGAGGAGGCGTCCCCGCCCAGGCTTTCTCTTGGTGTCTGGTGATTAGAGGGTGGAAACAGGTTAAATGGCAAGGCTTCCCCAGACAGAGCCGGGGCTCCTCCGTTGCCATGGAGACAATCGCCACAGCTCCCAGCTCTCCCCACCCCTGTTCAGTTCCCACCTTCCTCAGGCCTCAGATGGCTTCTCACTGCCCCCCTGTGGCCAGACACACTATGACACTTGGATCAGAGACAGTCATTTGCGGTACAGATGGGGGAAACTGAGACACGGAGACGGAGGAGGGACAGGCCTGACGTCCTGCAGTGAACCCAAAAAGGGATGAAGTGGAACTTGGGGCTTCCGTCCCGTACACAACATCGGTTCTCCTTCAGGGAGGCCTATCTGGTGGGAACTGAAAACACACACACGGGATTGTGGTGGGAAAGAAACTGGTCGGCGCTGGGGTCAAAAGAAACCAGGCTTCGGGGGTGGAAAACTACCAGGTAGCAGGCCTAGGGACTCAGATTGGAGGCCTAATAGAACTGAAGTGGCATCTCCCTCTGAGTTCATGTTCTTTGACGTCTACTTCTGAGGGATCTTTGGACCCGGCCCTGTGCAGGACATTGCTGGGGACAAAGAGATGACTGTGGCACCTGGGGCCCTGTCCTCACAGAGGTCCCAGTCCAGTAGGGGAGACAGACCTGTCACGAGAGTAACAACCCAGAGTGGGCAGGGCTGGGTGGAGCCCTCAGGGAGCTGCAGGGGTGTGTGACCCAGTTTGAAGGTCAGGGAGGGCTTCCTGAAGGAGGGGACTTCAGAGCTGAGTGTTCATATGGAAATAGGAGAGTATGTTCTCTATGCTTTGACTTTATCCACGTCCCACTGTGGGCAGCTAGGGGTGTGTTCAGTGGCAAACAGCAGAAAGTGGCTTAAGCACATGAGTCTTTCTCACAGAAGAAAAAGAACCTGCAATAGGCAATAGTTCACAGCAGCTTAGTAATGTCCCTAAACGCCCAGGCTCCTTCTTTAGTTCTCTTTCCATTCATTGCTCAGCTTTTGCCCTCATGGTTGCAAGACGGCTGCTGCGCCTCCAGGTGTCACGTCTATTTTTCCAGGCCACGAGAAAGAGGAAACAGCAAGTCAGGAAGGGGCAACACATTTGCATTTCCAGTTTTAGTTTCCAACTCCATTTTACTTGGAGTCACAGAAAAAAAACCTCATTCTTTGAGATGTAACCTGCGGAATAAAAACCCACCCAAACCGCTTTCTCTTAAACATTTACAAACTGAAGCATTCATTTCTTTAACAAGGCAAGTGTCTAAGAAAAGTGGGAAAGGAGTATGTGGACTGAACCCCTGAGCCCATTAATCTCTCGTTGCCTCAACTGCCAGCGATATTCTCTGCCACAGACATCCTGAGGAGCCCTTGGGTTGAACCATGGGGAGTGGCTTCATATTTGGGGGGCCAGCCTGCATTTTATTCCCTGGCTTGTTCTGAGCGACTGACTGGTCAGGAGTTTCCGTGTCTCTTCTCAGCACCCTTCCAGATGTAGTGCGGGGCACACGCAAGTGTTCATTGCTTTTCATTCATCGCTTTATGCTCGTCGGTTTAGGGCAAGGTACGCAACATGTCATCTGTGCTGTCCCATTACACAGGTCACTGCAGGTCAAAGGTGGGTCAAATTTGGTCACAATAGGTGACACAAACACCTCGAAGGATGAGGTATCCTTTACAAAGCTCAGAAAACACATCCCTCTCCAGAAAGCTAGAGCTTTCCAGAAACCCTCCATTTAGGCCTCATTGCCAGACTGGGTCACATGGCCATAGCTGCAAGGGATTCTGGAAAAGCAAGTAGGAAGCTTAGGGCTCACTATCTGCAAGGCATTTGGGGAGAGTGAATATCTGAGAATATGGCTGTCGCTAGCCTTAAGGAATTCCAGGAGAGTTAATAATGTTAGCAGAGTACATGGCTTGCTCTACCTGCAAAGGACTCTGGGAAAGTAGGTACCTGTAGCAAAGTTCGTGGCTAGTGTTAGCTGCTATGGAATCTGAGGAAGTGAATATGTCTACCTTCAGAGTACTTCTACCTGTGAATATTTCTACGGGGCTGTCAGTAGTTGTAAAGGCTTCTGGGAAAAGGAGTATTTTTAGGTAGGGATATGGCCACCCCTAGCAGCAAGGAATCCTGGGAAACTGAATATATTTAGCTGGGCATACGACCTGCCGCAGCTTTAAGGGATTCTGGGAAAGTAAATATTTTTACCTAGGCCTATACATTCTCCTTGCTGCAAGGGATTCTGGGAAAGTGTTTCTAGAATCACTAGATTCTAGTGAATCTAGAATTCACTAGAATTCCACGGTGGACGTGGCCACACCTTGCTTCAGGGGATTTTGGGCAAGCGATTCATTGTGTGGGACCCACCGTCTGGAAGCCGAACAACACGGGGGCTGTAGCCAAGGCAGGAGGCGTGGGCATGTGCCCCAGCTGGGTCGTGTGCCCGCAGGGGACGAGGAGGAGGAGGAGGACGGGTCCCGGGAGGAGCGGCTGCCGTCCTGCTTTGACTACGTCATGCACTTCCTGACGGTGTTCTGGAAGGTGCTGTTCGCCTGCGTGCCCCCCACCGAGTACTGCCACGGCTGGGCCTGCTTCGGCGTCTGCATCCTGGTCATCGGCCTGCTCACCGCCCTCATCGGGGACCTGGCCTCCCACTTCGGCTGCACCGTGGGCCTCAAGGACTCTGTCAACGCCGTGGTCTTCGTGGCCTTGGGCACCTCCATCCCCGGTAACCCCCCGGGGGACCCCTCAGTGGGGCAGGGTCTCAGGCCAGGCAGTGAGACCAGTAATGCGGAAGCATGGTGGCGGAGTCCTGCAGAACTCCTGGGGGGTGAGGGGGTGGTCCCCGAGAAACAGACATAGCAGAAGCTAGACTGGGGTCCCCTAGATTCACTCTGTGAATGGAATCTTCCCCAAAAGCCACCTGGTGGCATGTCCCATAGAACTGAGATGGTGGGAACTAGTAGAAGCCAGAGAGTGCATTCCACACGAACAAGATGTTAATTTCCCCTCCTCTCCCCACCCCCTCACCAAGAAACCGGATGGAAGTTCCATAGAACTATGTTGATGTGCACGATGAGAACCAGGCCAGTGAATTCCGAGGCTTTAATAAAGATGCGGGAGCAGAGTAGAAACCAGAGGTTGAAGGAGGGGTGCCATGCAAATAAGAGAGTGGGGTTTCAAAGACTACAGCTTATGTCCCCCAAAACACAGTGGCCAAGATCCCCTCTCCCCAAATAAACCCGAGTGAGAGTCTTTCAGAAAACAGGTGGCCGAGCTGGAAATTCCCAAGGCAGTAGGGACACCAGGTAGGCGGGCAGGCTGCCGCCCTTGTTCTGCACACCAGTGTGCTCACCAGTGGGGCGGTGCTATCCATCCGGAAAACAGGAGGCGGGTCCTGTGGGAGACAGCCGCTGGGGATTGGTTGGTTTTCTGATGCACGTTTCCCTCCACACCAGAGACCTGACTTATCAAAGATGTTCAGGAATCCGTGCAGGCCGTGGAAACCAGGCCGCTGCTGCAAGGAAACCATGCGGGGAATGGGCAGGAAAGGGGGTTGCATTGGGGTGGATCCTAACACCTATTTTGACCAGCCTGGTGGCGGTGGGGTTGTGGGAAGCCGAGAGGGATTCCCTTTGAAAGCAGGCAGCGAGTCCCATAGAAAGTAGACTGAGCTCCAAAGAAAGCAGGCTGTGGGTCCTGTACAGAGCAGGCACAGGGATGGTGGCAGACTTTGCCTCTTGGGTGGGGCCACGGCCTCAAGTCCCTACTGTGCACAGTCTGCCCAGGGCTACAGGAGTGGGAGGCCAGGCCTGCAGCGAGCCCCACCCCAGGTCTGGATCACCCGGGCATGGGGATGGTGTGAGTCTTGTGGACAGCAGGTGACAGGGATAGACGGACGCCAAGACCTGTGTGGGGGGAGAGGACCACGGAGCCCTTCTGACCCACGCACGTCTTTGCCCCCACAGACACATTCGCCAGCAAAGTGGCCGCGCTTCAGGACCAGTGCGCGGACGCGTCCATCGGCAACGTGACCGGCTCCAATGCGGTGAACGTGTTCCTGGGCCTGGGCGTGGCCTGGTCGGTGGCTGCGGTGTACTGGGCGGTGCAGGGCCGCCCCTTCGAGGTGCGCACGGGCACGCTGGCCTTCTCCGTCACGCTCTTCACCGTCTTCGCCTTCGTGGGCATTGCCGTGCTGCTGTACCGGCGCCGGCCGCACATCGGCGGCGAGCTGGGCGGCCCGCGCGGCCCCAAGCTCGCCACCACGGCGCTCTTCCTGGGCCTCTGGTTCCTCTACATCCTCTTCGCCAGCCTGGAGGCTTACTGCCACATCCGGGGCTTCTAGCGCCCCCTGCAGAGACTCGGCCTCCCCACCCCCACCCCCGGGAGACGGCGGCGCGTGCGGCCCCTCCGGCCTCCTCGCCCGGGGCTCGGCCTCCCTGCCTCCTGGGAATCGATCGTGTCCCCGCCAACCACCCTCTCCCTTCCTTCCGGGAGCCTGCCCGGGGCCTCCTACCAGTCACCCACAACTCCCACCCATCCCCGTTAATTTCCATCTGCACGCTGGGGGAAATTTCCGCCTGGACGTCCGTCCTCTCGGTGACCCCCTAGAGAATCTAGCATCTCTCTCCCTAGACACCCAACCTTGATTTTCCTCTGGAGGACCCACCGCTGCCGCCGCGGATGAACCTGTGTGCCCCAGGCCCCCAGAACTTAGCCCTCCCCGGGGCACCTTGAAGGAGGCCGATCCTCCCAGGACTGCGCGGGTTTCAGCCCTTTCCCCAACCCCCAGGGCGCCGCGCTCAGCCGCCAGGAGAGGGGGAGGGGAAGGGGACGCAGCGTGCGGGCGCAAAGCGGGCCACGCCTTCCCCGATTTCTCCACTCAGGCCCTTGGGAGGACGCTAATTCTCGAGGCTTGGAGAAGGGAGAGGAGCAGTTGGGGGTTTCTGAGCTGGAGGGGGCATATTTGGGACCTGCCATTTCTCACATTCCAGCGCCCTCGCTCTCCTCCACTACCTCTGAGGGCCCCGCCACGCCTTCGGGGGGGGGCCTGTGTTGTATATAGCCTGTGGGGGAGGGGGGTCGCGGGAGGGTGCATGTCTTGGGGAGAGGGGGTGCCAGACTTTTCCTTTTGAGAGGGCAGCAGACTCCCCCAGCCATGAAAATCGACTTTGGGGAGAAGGCCGCAAATCAAAGGAAGTCCAGCCATCTTCCTCGACAATCCAGAAGGCTCACTTTGCCCTCAGTGCCAGCCCATCCGGGCAGGACCCTCGGCGAGGAGACCGAGGGTCCCAGAGGACCGATGCTACAAGCCAGCAAATGCTGCCACATCTCTGCCTGATGGGGAGCAGGGCCGGGGGTGGGGGGAGGGTGGGACGGGGACCGAGGTGTCTGGGTGGGCGTTTTTCACTTTGGAGGCCACCCGTCGGTTGGTAGGCCATCTGCATTTTCTTACTGTCTTTGTCTCCCGCCCAGAGGACACCCTTGGGGCGTGGGGAGCGCTGCCCACTTCTGGGGAGCCCGAGGAAGACCCTGCAACCCCCTAACACCCTGCTCCCCGCGGGTTCTTAGCGTTCAGTCCTGTCGTGCGGCGGCCCAGCACCCCAGGCCTGCCTCCTGCTCCTCTCACTACTCGCAGCTCATCAGCACCAGTCGCTGTCTCTTTTCTCTGTGATTTCTGTAAAAGTTGCCATAAAACTTTGAAATTCTGCCTGGGAAACAAGCCTTCCCGTGAGAAGCTGGGATTCTAGAGGAGGGAGCGCACGAGGTCTCTGAGATCTCCGCAGCTGTGAAATCGACCAGGTAATGTGGATTTTTCCAGGCCCCCAATCCTCCGCAGGACACACCCTCGTGCGCCAGCAGCCTCACTAAAGGTCCACAGGCTTCCCCCAGCCACGCCACGTGCCCACCAATCACCGCGGAGCTCCCCTGGCCACGCCCCATTCCATCAGCCACAAAATATTCCTCTTTACAGGGCATCCTGGGAACTCAAATTTGCCTGAGCAGGAGCTGGGGTTGATGGGGGGTTTCCTGAATAAAGCAATTGACTTTCTCAGAATGCTGGCATAGGGGGAGAGGGGTGTGTGTGTGTGTGTGTGAGAGAGAGAGAGAGAGAGAGAGAGACTCCAGATAAAGGGAGGGCACAGCCTACAAAAAGATGAGCAGACATAAATTACGGGCTCTTTCGAGCAAGCGGTTTGCATGAACGGAGTGTGGGGGCTTGGGGAGTGAAGAGACCTCAAGAGGACCAATTATAAGAGCTCTTGTCAGCCACGCTAAGAAGCTTGGAATTTAGCCTAAGAGCAAAGACGGGTTTTGAAAGGGACTTCAGTCGGGGATGGGGGCAGGGCAGGCAATGGATAAACTGATGTACGTTTTCAAACGTGCCTTCTGGCTACCGGTGAGACTGGGGGCTGGGAGATCAGGGAGGCCGCTGCAGCGGCTGGAGTCGGGTGGTGGGAAGGAAGGCGGTGACAGAGGGTGGTTTCTAGAGAGAAAGAATAGGGACCCCGGCAGGAGAGACGGTTGCACTCGAGTGTGCTTGCCAGGGACAGTTTGACAAAAGGAACTTGAACAGGTGCGCAGGGTTCACCCAAGGAAAACAAGAGGGAAGGTGCAGTACCCGGGGCTAGCAGTAGAGGGAGCAGTTACCACCCTGAGCTTGAAAGTGTGAGCTGAATGGCCTGAGCTGGTGAGGCTGCGGCTGCCGCGTAGGAGCGCAGGGCAGACACCGCCCGCCACCCACGCTCAAGCAGAAGCCAAAGGTCAAGAGAGGTAATGGCTTCTCGGGAGGCAGAGCAGGAGGGGGAAAAGGTGGAGAGTCGATCTGGGAGGGGGGCAAGGTGGAGAGTCGATCTGGGAGGGGGGCCGTGGGGAGGGAGAGTTTTCAGAGAGTGAGGTTTTTTCTGGGCTTGGGGAACGAAGGCAGGGCGAGTAGGAAGAAGGGGCTTGGAGAACACGCAGCATTCTGGTGAGTACTTGCTGAGGGCAAGATGCCTGTGGGACAGCCAGAGGCGAGGTCAGGGAGGGGCCGCCTGGAGCTCAGAGACCGGGCTGCGCTGGAGAGAGGTATGATTTGTTGGCCAGGGGGTGTCGCCAAGCCTGGGGGGGGGTGCCCAGGGAGAGGCTGTAGTGTGAGAAAGGTACAGACAGTACCTTGAGGGGCTCCAGCGTCTAAGGGGCACGTGGAAGATGGGAGACCTTTCAACGGAAAGGGACTCGCCAGAGAGGTAGATGGGGGACCTGGGGCACAGGAAACCAAGAGACGGGGTCACCGTCTGGCGGGAGGTGGAGTGGGATGAGGACCCAGAAGTGACACTAAGAGGCTGTGGGGGGCAGAAGTCAGGCTGATCTAGAGTGAGGAGGGAGTGGCAGTTGGGGAAACTGAGTCAGAGCATGTAGACCTCACTTTGGATAATTTTTTTTTAAGATTTTATTTAGAGAGGAAAGGAAGGAGAGAAATATCAATGTATGGTTGTCTCGTATGTGTCCCCTACTGGGAACTGGCCTGCAACCCAGGCACGTGCCCTGACTGGGAATCGAACCAGCCACCGTTCGGTTCACAGGATGATGCCCAACCAACCGAGCCACACCGCTCAGGGCACGCTTTTGGAGAACCTTGAAAGAGAGAGGGGGGTTGCTGGAGAAAGATGGTGCGTGAGCAGGCTCTCCTGCTCCCCACCCAACGTGGGGGCAGGTGCGCAGCAGGAGGGCTTTGAACACAAGGGCGGAAGAGCACCAGGGAGACCAAAGTTAGCAAGAACCACGCTGACAGCAGCTGGCGGTTATGGAAAGCACCGGGCACTATGCGGGGCTCTCTTAGGCGGGCACAGTCTCCCTCAGTTTGCCACCGATGCCAGCAATCACTCCCAGTGCACAGGTGAGGAAACTGAGGCTCAGAGAGGTGAAGGGCAGAGAGGGGGGAGAGGTCCAGGGCACACAATGGGACGGAGACTTCAGCGGTGCAGAGGCAGGAAATGGGTGAGTCTGGGGGCAGGGAGATGAGTCAGGTCTCAGCTGTGGTGCCGGGTGTACTCAGAGCCTGGGATGTGTCCGAGAGGAGGGACTACTTCACAGATGTCCCTGCATCCCACCCCCAACATGGTGATTCCCACCTGCAGCAAGGAGTTCCCAGGGCGTCAGCGTGGCAGTGATTTACCTGATTTGCCTAGAGAGGCAGCACAGCGCAGAGATTTACTTCCTCTGTGCCTCAGGGCCCGAGTCTGAAACATGGAGACAATAATGATGAAGGGTACCTACTCCACAGGGCTGTCCTATTAAATTATAACTTAACGTAGACAGTTTATCAGGGTTATGTGTAATATATTAAATTCTATATATTTTATTATAATGACACTATACATTAGACCAATGCCTGGCACACAGTAAGAGCTCAGTGGTGTTCCTGCTTGCTCGTTCACTTTCGTATTCCCTATTCTCTCTGTCTCTTCCACACTCACACACACGTGCACACACAGCCCTCCGCTCGCCATCCCAGAATGAACAGCCTCAGAAGGACAGAGAAACGCAGAGGCCCCGTGAGCCTGCTCTAGCACCTGAGTCCCAGCTGCAAGGTTACCAAACCGGGGGACAACTGGTCGACAGGGACTAGTCTGCCTCTCCCTCCAGCCCCTGGGAGCCTCTAAGTCGCTTTACCCTCTGTGCATCCTCTCCGTGCCTGGTGCTCCGCTGGGGACACAGCCGTGACCCACATGTCCCTGCTTTTCCCAGGAGCACAGCGCACTGCGGGGGCACAGGCCAGACACGGTGGCCGGGTTGCGACTTGTGAGGGCGAGGACTCTGTAGCAAGACCCCGGAGGAAGCAGGAAGCCCCAAGCTGCATAAATGAGAGCAAGGAAGGACTGTGAACAGACAGATACAGGGGCTGGGGGTGGCTTAGCAGGGGGCTGGCAGATGGGAGCATTAATACCCTTAGCCTGAGGGAGGAGAAGAGGCAGTGACTTCCAGAACCCTGAGAAGGTGTCTGTCTGTGTCCTTGTAAGGGCCTCCTATGAATATTTGATTAACAGACACGGGGATCCAAAATAATTGTGGTTTAAATGAGATGGATATATGTCTCTCTCATGTAACTGTCTGCATCTGGTATAGCTGCTCTATTTCATGAGGACGGCAAGACACCCAGTGTTTTCTACCTTCTTGCTCCGACATAGCAGAAGTATGCCCCTCATCTGTCTAGTCCCAGGTGGCTCACCTCTGCCAGAAGGGTGGACACAGGGGGCGGGGGGAGAGGGCCAGGACCCACTGTCCTTGGTGAGCTTTTACCAGGAGCTCCACGCATCGCGTCCTCCACCATCTTGGTTGCCAGACCTGAACAGCCACACTTAGCCGCCAGAGCAGCGGGGAGAGGAAAGGGCAATAGTTGTTATTCTCAGTCACCGTGTTGAAAGTGGTAGAGGATTTTTGAGGAAACGTGGCAGACTGCATGTTGAAGGACAGTGAACAGCCTCTTCTGCAAAAGGTGTGAAGGAACCCGCAGAGGTGATGGTCAGAAATCTAACCCATCATATCAGAGGCACTGAAGTTGCCACTTTAATTCATGCCAAGGAGCCCCAGGACCTTTGCATCACCAGCCCTCAGACCAAGGTTCCCAGCTGGAACCAGTCCTGACCCTCTGACCTTCCCCAGTCCTGAAATCCAGATTTCCTCAGCCTCCGCTTTCCAGATGGTTCCCCAGTCCAGAGCCTGTTTTCCCCCAAATAAATCTGCAGCCCATAGACCTCCCCCTCCCCCAACTTCCTGCCCCCCACCCACCTTTCCCTGACCCTCCAAGCATCCCATTTTAGTATCCATTTCTACACAACCAACACCACCGTAAGACTTAATGGCTCAAAGTGACAAGTTATTGTCTCACACTGGGGACTCACAGCGCTGCAGTCAAGTGTCAGCTGAGGCTAGTTATGTGATGTTCAGGGGAACTCAGTCACCAGTCCGACCCACAGCTGGTGCTGTCGGCTGGAAGCTGGGGCCGTGGACCGCAGCCCGCATCTTTCTAGACAGTTTCCGTCTCCCTCTGTTCCAAAGGCCTCTGTCTCTTTCCCGCC